TAAAAAAACCCCACCTTTTTAAAAAAAGAACATCCTATTTTTGCAAGAATATAAGGTATGGAAACTAACAAATGTTTTATGATCCTTTAATTATAACCTTATCCTCTGAACAAAACTCTCGTCGACTCTACTATTATATTAACTTAATTTGTATGTTAACAATAAAAGCTAGTTTTTCAGTAGGATAAAATGTTGTCTCTAAATAAAATACAAAAAAGAAAAAGGGCTGGGGATGTGGCTCAGTGGTCGAGTGCCCCTGAGTTCAATCCCCTGTAGCCCCACGCAAAAGAAGGAAGTTGTCTAATGAAATGAGGAACAATCAGGACAAACAGACACTAGTGTCATTATTTGTACATTGCAAATGTACTAAATGAACTAACCAGGGCAGGGGATGTAGTTCAGTGGTAGAGTGTTTGCCAAGCATGCACGAGGCCCTGAGTTCAGTTCCCAGCAACACACACACACACACACACACACAAACACACAAGTTTGCAAGCCAGTGAATTAGAAATTGAGGCTAATTTTATCCTACAAAAGGCAAATACATTTAGTTCTGCAATTGTAATGGTGAAAGTGTTGAAAGCTAAAAAAATTTCCTAGTATAGTTATAATGTTGCAATGAAGGCAGTCATATGTGCATATTGTATAATGTATATTTAGATATTATTAGCACATTCATTGCATATAATTTTAAAATTTACCATTCAAAAAGCTTTCTAATATTCTGTAAGTGTGCAGATGTACCTTTTTGGTTTGAAAAAATAGTCTTAACACTTTTCAGCTAAAATAATCATCACCAAGTTTTGTTGATAGCGGGAAATGGGTACAAGAAGATTTATTATACTATTTGTTTTTGTGTATGTTTGGAAGTTTTCATAATAATCAGTCTTTTAAAAATCACCTGGTTTATACCACATTCCTGGGATCCAAATCAAATGTGAAGTGCTAGAATTTTACATTCAAATATAGACAGAAAACTTATTTGAGATGTCTGGATCCTCCAAAAAGTAAAGTTGCTAATAACATTAGGAAACTTCATTAAAAATTAAGTATTACTTTTCTTCTGCAGACCAGAACAGAGAAAGAAAACCACTACCCCTCCTATCTGGTTAGTACCTACTAGAAGCCTTTATATGTAAGTCATCTCAGAGCCAAGAAATATTCCTGCCTAAATGGTCTGTAAGACTGGGAAGTGTGATTCTCCATATATGACAGTGCAAGATGGTATTGGTAAAACATAATTTTACAATAATTCCTGGAAAAGTTAAATTTATTATTTAGTTAAAAAACAGAAACCCCATGCTTACTTGGGCTAATATTTTTTGTAAGCATGACTGAATAGTAAAATTTGACTTAGAATTTTAATCTAATTATAACATTTTTATTAGCATGACTGAGTAATAAATATTGCCTGGAAATTTTAATCTTGTTATACCTGCCATATTATTACCTGAAAGGAACATGGGTAACAACATTTTAAAAGATACACTCCAAGAAACTCACAAAAAAAATTCTTACTAGATACTTCTACCCTTCCCTAATATTGGAGAAGAAAAAAGTCTTCTTACCCCTAATAGGCAAAGCTAGTCCTCTATTTCATGTTTTAGAGTGCTGGTCCTGTATGAGAATAAACCTATAAAGCCTCATAACATAATGCTTCCTTCCCCCAAAGTGTGATACTGAGAACAACACTTACAGACTAATATTCATCCAGGGAAGATGATTTACTGTTAAAATTTTAAGAGGAATTTACCAAAGTTATATTTATTTGTCTTACAGAAGGAACCCAGAGATTGAAAAAAGTTGCCAATAGTGTCGGCAAACTGAAGAAAAAGAGAAAACATAGACTAGTAAGAGAAAAAAAATATGGACACATTAAACAATATAAGAACAATTATAAAGCATCACAAAGAATGGAAATCAGATTAAAAATTATTTATGATCTTACACCCACTTTGCCAAAATAGTTACAAAATAGTAAATTTGTTTATTGTTTAATATGGAGTGTGAAATTGTTATCGCAAGGTGTAACATCTAAGTGACTCTACTCAGTTTATTGAATAGGCTTATTATGACTTCCTATTTTCCTTTGTACAGGGTTAAAAACATTGCCTCTTTAAATTTAGGTATTCTCCCTGACCTTGTTGTGTTTTACTGTCCTAAAATTGCAATTCTGTGTTTGTAGTTTGGTTTTTTCCTTGAAAAAGTACCACAAAACAGTAGCACTGAGGTTCTGTAACAATACAACAAACGTACTTTGGTCCCCTTTGAAAAAAACAGTTCTTGCCAAGGAACTATTAACTTGTATATAATATAGGAACTATTAACTTGTATATAATATATTACACTATTAAATATAAAGTGGTATTAGATGAAATTGCTGTTTTCTGCCCTCCACAGTTCTTTCAAGTCACGTTCACATTGAACCATAGGATTTGAAAAATGACTTAATAACCATGAATCTACTCTGTGGTAGAATATAATCATTTAGGAAAAAAGTACTGGTAAATACCTTGATTTTCAATTCTAAGACTCTTTCCATTAATGATGATATTGCTTGATATTCATGTTCACCATACACAGAGCTGGACTAAGTAACAGCTTGCTTCATTATGTCTAGTCCTCCAGGGAAACATTGTAGGAAAGATGTACAACTTCCCCTTTCCTTCAAGTCCACGGCCAGTCATCCATCCTTCTCCTCCCATTTCTTTAAAGCTCTGTCTTAGCAAGATTCTTGTTCTTGTCTCAGTAGGCCCTCTCAGTTCTCCCAGCCCATCATCTCCATCCTAGTTCCACAAGCCTGGTTCCTGTGGTGTCTTTTGGCCATTTCATTTGTTCATTAATTCATTTTTCTTTTAACACTGTTCATAAACACCTTCTAGCATAAGAAATAATTCATTGTGTGAAGTCCTGTGGTCAAGTTTGCAGACTACCAAAAAAAGAATCCCTTGCCTAACTTGGTTACCTGCTGCCATACTTCCTATGTCCTTGGTTCTAGGAATTTCCCATGGGCTATTTTCTACAACACCAAGAAAAAGCCACAGAACAATTCTGACTGGTTCCACTAAAATTGATGCATTCTGGTCTACCTAAATTCTTGGGGCCATATGAAAGATTTCATGTGTTTTTTTCTGACCCTTTTCCCATTCTTCACAACATCATTTCTTTATTCTTTTCAAGCTTTGAGCAAATCACGCTCCCAGGAAGTGATTCAATTTTTATTACCAGGCAATTTTCTGATATGAGTATCTGGGGATTTCCTCTGTTTTTCCCCTTGTCCACTATTTCTTTCAAGAAGAAAAGGTTTTCTCCTTCTTGCCAAACTAACCATCCCAGGTGTGCTCTTTTTTCCATCTCCTGTTTTCCTTTAGCACTTTTATTCCTGCTACCATTTGTAACTTCAGACTCCCCCACCCAACAAAATTATTTTCCATTGCCTGAAATCATGCACAAACATCCCACTGTGCCAAGAAGACTCCAATAACTTTTTGTGTTTTTGCCTTTCCTCTTCCAAACCCTCAAACTTGAAAGAATATACTCCTTTTCTCAACTTCTCACTGTCTAGTCCTTTGACCTTCTATGACCTTCAGGTGTCTGTTCAGAAAGTATTTTATGCTTGCCATGCACCAGGAAGGAACATGGTAAATACTAGTGGTTCATCTAAAAAAGACAAAATCCTTTTTGTCAGAGAGCTTATAATTTAGGTAAGGGAAGCAAACAAGTAGACAGAGAACTACTAGATAGTGGTGCAGTTTTAATTAGTTAAGTATAAGGTAATATGGAAGTAAGAGAAACAGTGTCTAATCAAGGCTTTTCAAGAGAAGGTGAGGCTTCTCAAAAGAAAAAGAGAAGGTGTTAGGTAAAAGGTAAAGAAGGGAAATGAACTTCTAACAGAGCAATGTCTTTCAAGAAGGAATCTGAAAGTTTATTTATACTTTTGGTTATCTGCACATTCTGTGACATGAGTGCAGACTTTGGGTAAGTGGATGGTAATGAGGCTTTTACCTGAATCTAGCTTTTAAGTTCACATTAAAAACTTTTTGTATATGTGACTTGGAGGGTGGTGAAAGAAGTCTACTTTTTACCACAAATGAATCTGTGACTTCAAAATATGAAGTACGTCTGCTATAAATGTAGGTGGGGAGCAGGTTATGAAAGCCTTCATACCAAGCTAAATTCCTTAGCTGTGTATAAAGGACTCTAGTTTGAAGGAGTTTAAGAGATAGTGGTGTTCTCAGATTTTCAGTTCTGGAAAGTTCATTCTCTGTAATGTGAATTATCATGAGAGGAGCAAGACTGCAAAAAGGGAATTTGGGAGACATACAATAGTCCAGACATGAGATAAATAGTGCTCAATCGTAGAGACGGTGGAGATGAAGAAGAAGGGATGGGTGTTTAGAAGGAAGGATTTAGATTTTCATTCACACTTGCCCCTGAGCCCTACCTCTTTATACAAGACATAATCTACAAAATCTATGCAGTACCCCTAGCCTTAGTGCTTCTAGTGGAATGAAATATCTGTCTCCAATGACATATTTGTGTTCTTGGCTTCTCTGGGATTGAGTCTTTGGGTTTTTAGTCCTTTGTAAGCACCTAACAGAATTATGCATATGTAACAGAATTAAGAACTGCCTGTTGATGATGCTTATATAGCACTTGCTTGAGATTTCTTGGATGTTCATTTGATTCTCACAACAAAACCTATGAGATGTATACTATCATGGTATCCCTTATTTGTGAGGGGAAGGGGAGAGTCACTGGGAGATTAAATTACTCTCCAACGTTTCAAACCCAAGCAGTCTGGCTCTGTAGTCCATGCTCTTAACCAGTATGCCAAACCATCTCAAAATTAGAACCTCAATGTTTGCTCTCCTGCCATTGGTAAATTTGAAGCAGGCTATATACATGTGCTAGTCCCATAAGATTAAACTTATTTTTTTAAATTTCTGTGGTATTGCTCACAAATTTGCTTTCTAATGTTTTTGTTTTAATTCTTTTAGAACCAGTGCGAAGATACAAAACTTACCACAGTGACATTTTTAATACCTCCAGTGAAAGTCCATCTATTATTTCCTCCGATTCAGATTTCAGGCAAGGTAAGAGTTATCTGAAACAAGCAAAATATTTTTAAGAAACCACAATTATGAATCTTTTTTGGTAATGTTGAAATAAAAGTTGTCAAAAATTAAAAATTGTAAAATTCTGCCATTTACTCATTTTAATATCAAAAATAGTGCATTCATTTTCATCACACAGAGGGGAGCTCATATCTTTAACAAGACATGCCAGAAGAGCTTAGTACCATGTCATTAATGTGATGACAAATTTTATATAAAAGTTCCTGTTGCTCTACATCCTTCCCAGCATTTGGTATCTTTAGTATTTTGGATTTTAGCCATTCAGGTAGGTGTGTAGTGGTATGTCACATTGATATATTAATTTGTAATTTCATAATGAAATACTATGCATAGCATTTTCTCATATTATTATTGGCCATTTTCACTTCTTCATTAATAGCATGTCTGTTTAAGTCTGTTGCCCATTTTTAAATTGGGTTATAATTTTCTGATTGTTGTATTTTAAGAGTCATTTTTTTAAATATTTATTTTTTAGTTAAAAAATAAATTCACATTAAAACCTTTTTGTATATATGATTTGGAGGGTGGTGAGAGAAGCCTATACTTTTTACCACAAATGAATGAATCTGTGACTTCAAAATATGAAGTGCTTCTGATATAAATGTAGGTGGAGTATATACATGTGCTAGTCCTACAAGATTAAACTTTTAAAAAAAAATTTCTGTGGTATTACTCACAAATTTGTTTTCTAATGTTTTTGTTTTAATTCCTTTAGAACTATGATAGTACATATCTCATAGGTTTTGTTGTGAGAATCAAATGAACGTGTAAATCTTGAGCAAGTGCTATATAAGCATCATCAACAGGCAGTTATGCTATGCGTAATTCTGTTAGGTGCGTACAAAGGAGTAAACAACCAAAGGCTCAATTCCAGAGAAGCCAAGTACATAAATATATAATTGGAGACAGGTTTATACAAATTATCATATGTCTGCTTAATGCTTGAGTATTAGATAAGTTTACTTTTATATTTTTATCACCTAAGCCATTATTATCATTATTATTATTATTATTTATCATTTTTTACTCACAATTAGTGAGAAGAAGTGAAGCTTCAAAGAGGTTTGAATCCAGCAGTGGTCTCCCAGGAGTAGATGAAACCCCAATTCAAGGCCAGTCACAGAGACCAAGGTATGCTGGGGTGGGGGGAAAATCGAGTAATAATACGTTTCCAGTAACAGATATTTTTATTATTGTCTTGTTTTAAAATTTTTTTATTTACCTTTATTTTGGTTCATTTTTCTTTGTTCTTCCTTTCCCTTAGTTTCCCTTCTCTGTAATTTCTCAGGAATTCATCTAATACTGTGAAAGACAGGGCATCGGACTCTTTTAGAATCAGGATTGGCTCTTATCGGTTACAGTTTTTTTTTTTTTAAGTTATCTATATGAATACAAAACAGTAAAGAAAGTCAAGGTACAGCATTAAAAATCTGTGAGAAGTGCTGATTTGGTGTCACGTGCCTGAAATCCCATCTACTCAGAAGGCTGAGGCAGGAGCATCACAAATCCAGCGCCAGCCTGGTCAACTTGATGAGACCCTCTCTCAAAATATAAGTAAAAGGGCTAAGAATACAGCTTAGTGTTCAAGCACCCCTGGTTTTAACCCTCAGCATTGAAAAAAACAAAAATCTGTAAGAAGATAATAAGTCTTCATTTCTAAAAGAATATACTTCTTTTGGAAGGTTGGAATAGGCTCCACCAGCAGGCTTTCAGTGAGAATTCGTTGAATGAATAATGAGTTGAGTACTACTAAGTAAACTATTATATAAAAAGTTAATTATCCACTGGCTTAAAAGAGGTTGTATTTTTTTAAGCCTGATTTAGGCTGTTTGGAGTTCATTTTCATACTGAAATAACTTGGTGAATTTCTTACAGGGTGTTAGTATTATTTGTGCTTGTCTTAAGATGGTTGTATTATAACTATGTATTAATTTGCTTTCTTTGAACTGAAAGGTATCAAGCCGGTAGTGAATATGTTGCTATATATCACTGTCATGTGTATGCAGATCCCTTATAGAAAGATGTTGTTAATGGAATTTATTTCAAATTTGTAATATGATATTAGAGATCTAGAAGTTGCTTCAGAATTTACTCGTGTGTGTGTGTGTGTGTGTGTGTGTGCACGCGCGCGCTACCAGAGAATGAACCCAGGGTCTTCTTAACCACTGAGCCACATCCCCAGCCCTTCTTAACTTTTATTTTGAGCCAGGTCTTGCCAAGTTGCTTAGGGCCTCACTAGGTTGCTGAGGCAGGCTTTGAATTTATGATCCTCCTGCCTCAGTCTCCCAAACCACTGGGATCATAGGCTTGCACCACTATACCTGGACATACTTTACTCTTAAAGTATAAAAATCCTTTTAGGCTCCAGTGCTACCAAATATAAGAGAATCATTTGGAAATTAACAAAAACTTGCCCCTTAACTCCTTAATTCTCCAAAATAGATTCACAGGTATAAACTAATAGTAGACGAGGTAACCCTTGCCATGTGATTAAAAATAAACTAATCCCAAAAAACCAAAGGCTGAATGTTTTCTCTAATATGTGGATGCTAATTCACAATAAGGGGTGGGAAGGTGACACTAGAGAAGAATGGAATTACCTTAGATTAGGTAGAGGGAAGCGAAGGGAGGAGAGGGGAAAGGAAGGATAGTAAAATGAAACAGACATTATTACTTTATGTATGTGACTGCATGACTAATGTGACTCTACAACATGTACACTCAGAAAAATGAGAAATCATATCCCATCTATGTATGACATATTAAAGTGCATAAATGCATTCTACTATCCTGTAGAACTCATTAAAATGAATAATTTTTTTTAAAAAGAAGCAATATACCTACTGTCATGTAATTAACTAATTAGAACAAATTAAAAAAGAAGCAATAAAAAAACAGGTAATCCACAGTTTTTAGTTTAAGTAATTAAATTCACTGCACTAAATTATCCCTTAATTATGTACCAGTACTTATTAAATTTATTTATTTTTATTTTGTTTTGTGTACCTTTTTAAAAAAAAAAATAGCCTATAATAGTTTGTTGCAATGGCACATACAAGGCCAGGTGTAGCAAAGTAGCAAGGCCCAAAGCAACTTAGTGAGACCCTGTCTCAAAATAAAAAAAATTAAAAGGCTGGCAATGTAGTCTGGTGATAAAGCACCCCTGAATTCAATCTCTACTACCCGCCCCCCTCCAAAGTCTTATTTCCTTTGAGAAAAGCTCTCATAAGTATTTACCTAAAGCAACATTATGCTTGGATAATAGCATTTTTATATTCCTGTTGTGTTAAACTCATTTTGATGATTTTTGAACTAAGAGGTAGGAAACAAAGATTTGTACTTGATATCTTGATATTCTACTACCCCCACCCTTTTTATTTATTTATCTATTTTTTGGTGGCACTGAGAATTGAAACCATGCATGCTAGGCAAATGCTATGCCACTGATCTACATCCTAAGCCCTTTTATTTTGAGATAGGACCTCACCAAGTTGTCTAGGTTAACTTTGAACTTGGGATTCTCCTGCACCATTCTCCTGAGAGGCTGTATTTAAGGTGTGTGCCACCATGCCCAACTGATATTACCCATTTTCTTAATGACACAAAAGCATTTGGGGATGAACAGACATTAAAAAGTCTACACTGAGGGGCTGGGGATGTGGTGCTTGCCTGGCGTGCATGAGGCACTGGGTTCAATCCTCAGCACCACATAAAAATAAAATAAAGATATTGTGTCCACCTAAAACAAAACAAAAAAAAGTCTACACTGATTTGCACAAAGCTCAGTGTTGAGAAATAATTTTTTTTTTTTTTTAAGAATCTACTCTTTTCTATTTCTGACTTGGAGAAAACTTATAAATAGTATTATGGTCCTTTTAGCTAGATTGTAAGAAGGAGGAATAGAGATGATAACTGGAAAAATTATTGAAAATTATGTGTTCATGATTTGCTTTTCATTTGTCAAAGATATATCCCTTCAAAACAAAATTAAATCCTTTTGTATTTTATTTTTCTTAATAAAGAACCTCAGAAGTGTCAAGGTTATAAAAGAATCTTAGTTTTGACCATTTCCAGACTTTATTTAAGAAAACCTTAACATTAAGGCTACCTTAGCTTGTCAGTTTCATGTTTTAAAGATAAGCTCTCTTTTGTTCATGACTTATGGGAAAACCCATAGGGTGTTCATAGCATCTGAGTTAGATTGAGCTCTAGGTAAAAGAAAACTATCTCCAAGGCAAGTGGATTGGGGTGTGTGTGTGTGTGTGTGTGTGTGTTGTTTTGTGCCAGTTGCTGAACTCTACTTCTTTGAACTAATTTCATACTTTTCCTGCCCACAAAAGTGCACCATTAACTAAAATGCTGTCTAAATTTCTTATGCAAGTGCATAATTTACTGAATGTGTACAAAGGTTTTGATAAATATCCTCAACATGCTGGTGCACAAGCAGGAGCTCCTGTTTTGTTCTTGAGGTCACATATCTGTAAGATCTACAGACAGTACTGTATTTATATGAGTTGCATGTTTCCCTTTTTAAAAAAAATTCCATTCCCTTTAGCTAGAAAGAAATGGCAAAACAGATTCAGACACTATTATTGGCTTCTATCAAGGAGTTGGGGGTGTGGGGGGAGATTAGCAGGAAATTATGAGTCAGATGCCGCAGAATGAGAAAATTTTGGATTCCAAGTTATCAAAAGTGTCTTTCAGTGACCCAAAAAGATGTTTCCAAAGAACATCTCTAAGCCTTTTTATGTGTTAATGTTTGAAGTACAATTTATATGTAGAACATTCCCACTGCTCTGTGCCTATTTACTTGTTGAGGTAACTTGTACCCTGATTTCAAATAACCTAGTTATTCATTCTACACTGAAACTGATTTTCTCGATTTTTGGGGTTGTTTGGTTTTGTTTTTGTTTTTCGTATCTCAAATATTTCAGTCCTTATGAAAACTTCTACCAGAGATTCTGTTGGAAGAGATAAAATGATAATCATTTTTACTAACTGTGAGTAGCTCTGGTATAAAATAATTTGAGAAGCCAGTATTTTTATACAAATACCATGTTTGAATTAAAATATATGAATTCCAGTTTTTATTATTACTTTTGGCCCCCAAGTTTGGGTGAACCATAGGATTATACTCAGTCATTCACTCAGCAATAATTATCCAGCATTCACCACACACTAGATTGTTTTAGGTGCTGAAGTTGTAAACAACACAGAAAAACTCCTTCAGAGAGATGTTTCAGAGGTGAGAGATAACCAATAAACCATAAAAGTCATAAATCTCTGTCATTTAGTAATAGTTACTTTGAAGAAACATAAAGTAGACAAATGGAATAAGGTATATATTATCCCCTATATTTTGCATAAATGGTATGATCAGAGAACATCTCTCTTAAGGGGTGGCTGAATAGAAAGCTGAAGTACAGAATTGATCCGTGCAGATACTAGCAAGAAGAATGTTCAAGACAAAAGGAATAGCAAGTACAGAGGGGCTAAGATATGGGATATGTATTACACATTAAAGGAATAGCAAAAAGGGCAGTGTGAATACAACAGAGTACATGAAGGACATTGTAACCAAGGAGGGTAACCAAGGACTCAGGACCCTGCTCAGATCAGGCTACAGAAGCTAAATTGAGTACTTTAGCTGTTGCTCCAAGTATAATAGGAAGCCATTGATTAAAAATATGAAGGGCCATGATCTAATTTACAGTATAAAGGGATTACTCTGTAGAATAGACTAGGAGTAAATTACCTGTCCAGAGACATTCATATCTATTTGAGATGAATATAATACAGATTTGGTTTTAGTGATGATGAAAAGTCAGATATGGATATTTTCCAGGTTCTGACTTCAGGATTTGCTGCTCAATTAGATATGGAATGTATAAGAAAGAAAAAACATGAATGATGCCAAGTTATGTATGTCCCAAGCGATTAGTAAATGATTGAAAAATGGATAGATGTAGGAAAAAAGTATCAAGAATTTGGTCTTAGAAATGTTAGTTTAAGGTATATATTAACATCCACGTAGAACACTCTCACTGATTTTTATTTCAAATAAAAGTGAGGAAAAGTCATCAGTTGAGAGAGGAAGAAGAGAATATTGGAGCTTTGAAAAAAAAGAGGTAAAACAAGATATAAAAAATTCTGTAAGAAAATGAGTCATCAAGGTATGATCAGGGCACAAGAGATCAGTCAACTTGGTGGTGCAGTTACATGAGTATTGAGGTTGTATGCAAATGAGTGATTTTTAACATTGAACATAAAAGGAAGAGAAAGGTAATAGCCTTTAAAAGAGATAAAAGAAAGTGGTATGATTAGTGAGCTAAAATTATTGATTAGAGTCCATGAGTTATTTGAAGAAGGTTATTAGATGGGCTGTACTACAAACATAAGATTATATAGTGCATGGGACACAAGAAATAGGAAACCTTGGAGGTGGCGTGTTTATTTTTAATAGCCAGCATGGCCATAGGAGTAGGTTGCCAGCTGAGATGGGAAAGAGGCCAGAATGTTGGAAGACTTCTAAATCTATTTATCACCACCAAGAGTAATGATAGGACTAGTGATTGAGAAAAAGGAGTTCATAACCCACTTGAATCAAAGTGTGAAATATGATATATCAAGAACTATATAATGTTTTGAACAACCAACAATAAAAAAATTTTTAAAAAAAGACTGAATCAGGCACTTCAGTCTTTGATTAATAAGGGGGAATAGCCAATAACGCAATAAATTAGATTAGACAGCAGAGTAGTGGATGTTATGATTCCACAATATGCACCTGAGGGGAGCTGGCGCCATTGGAGGAAGAGTCACAAAGGTATGGAAGCTGAAATAAGAATTCAGGAGACTCTCTTTCCATTTCAAAGTCTCAATTTTTTTTTAGGTCTATAAGAATTAAACAGGGGAACTACAGGAGAGGTAGTCTTCAGAGTATGCTGGACTGTTCAGAGAAGAGGTAGAAAACATAGATCTAACCAATAAGACAGCATTATAGCAATGCGTTAAAGTACAACCGAGTGTTACTGTCTGCTATAATCTGTTTCTACCCACAGAATATTTCTGACACCAAGTATGTGGGTTTTTCTTCACTCAGCAACCAGTTCTACAACTCTGCAGACACTAGCTGAGTGTCCTACAGTTTAATTCAACTTCAACACTATGTCCTTGGTGTTGGCATAAGATCCCACAAGTTAAAGGCTCAGCTCACAGCCCCCTGGGCTTTCTGTACTTCTAACTGACCAGCTGTAAATCTGGGGTTTCCACAGCCGCCTTCTCAGGTTTGATAATTTGCTAGAATTACGGAGGGGCTTTTTGGAGATTTCATTAAATAGGGCATGACTGATTATTAACTCAGTCTTCAGGACATCTCCTTTCCCAAGAGGCTGATGGGGGCTGGGACTGAAAGTTCTAGGTTTCTAATTGAGGCTTGCCCTTTGGGGAGACCAACCCTCACCTGAAGCTATCTGGGATCCCACAGAGAATTTCTTGTTAGAATAAAAGATGCTTCATCACTGAGGAAATTCCAAGGGATGTAAGAGCTCTGTGTTAGAAACCAAAGACGATCCTATCACCCAGGAAATTATGAGGATTTTAGAAGGTCTATGACAAGAACCAGGGTCAAAGACCAAATATTACAACAAAACATTCTGTGATCACCCCCAGACCCTAAGGAAATCACAAAGGATTTAAGAGTACTTTGTCAGGAAGCAGACTCTCTTCTCTGTGTGTATACACATACACACACACACACACACACAAAACCATACATATGTCACACTGTGTAGCGCAGAGATTCTTCCAAGATGAAAATGATAAAATTTGTTTAAATTCTTTTTTTTCTTTTTTTTATTGGTTGTTCAAAACATTACAAAGCTCATGACATATCATCTTTCATACATTTGACTCAATTGGGTTATGAACTTTGTTTAAATTCTTGATACTTAATGTGAACTTTTTTTTCCCGTTAGCCTTAAAACAATTGTTTTCTTCCCATTACTTTTTTTTCTTCTCTCTTCTGTGTAGCAGACAATATGAAACACCCCTTGAAGGCAACTTAATTAATCAAGAGATCATGTTAAAACGGCAAGAAGAAGAAATGATGCAGCTGCAGGCCAGAATGGCCCTTAGACAGTCTCGATTGAGCCTGTATCCAGGAGACACAATCAAAGCTTCCATGCTAGACATCACCAGGGATCCATTAAGAGAAATTGCCCTAGAAACAGCCATGACCCAGAGAAAACTGAGGGTATGTTGATTCTCAGGTTACTGTGTCTAAACTTGCTCTCAGAGAACTGTTAGGGAAAGTACTTCAAAAAATTGCTATGTGATACATCCCATGCTTTTATAATTATGTCAAAATGGATTCCACTGTCATATGTAACTAAAAAAGAAAAAAAAATTGCTAATAGGTAACGTCTAAAAGTTTCTTGTGCATGAAATTGACCTTCCATATTAGTTTCCATTGGGATTACTAATTTTGGCAATATTTCATTTTGGTCAAAAGATAACCACATTAGCTGCAAGCATCCTACATCCTCACATTAAAATATCCAAAGGAAGGAGGGAGCAAGTCTGCATCTCGTATCTCATTGGGGTGATTTTTTAAAGGTGTATATATATTCTTCAATTTGGGGTAGTTTTCTTTAAACATATGCCCTTAAATATATTTTTATCAACATGAGCTCAAAATGAACATTGTCTTCTTTTCTCATATAATATTGTGGACATTTTATAACTTCAGTAATATTATTGTTAGTGCTATGAAGTACACTATCATGTGTCTTTACTGGGTGTTATAATTTCTTGAATACATTTCCAATTATTGGACATTTAAAATGTTTCTAACTTATCATTGCTGTGTTTATAACCCTATGGCTAAATCTTTGTAGATAACTTCCTTCAAGTAGAATAGCCAAGTCAATCAATCACCAATTTGATGAGTGAGGTAGTATCTCATTTGTATGTAATTTTAAAAATAATTCTTTAAAAGCAAACTAAATATTAATAAAGGTGATATAGTTAATAATGAATTTTTAAGAAAAATTTACTAAGAAAATATGTTACTGTATTCTATTTTTTGGTTTTTAATCTTCCTTCCTTCCTTCCTTCCTTCCTACCTTCCTTCCTTCCTTCCTTTTGTTGATTGCTTCAAAGATTCATCATTTTTTCCCCAAAGAATTATCTTAGCACATTTAAGTTGATAGAATTCAAATTTCCTTTATAGTATTCTAAGGAGTAGAAATAATATTGGGTGGTGAAAATCACTTTGAATTACAAATTAGAAAACTTTAATTATATTCTTTATCTGTTATAAGACTTTATATAAAATTTTGAACTTCTTTTTGCCTCATTGTTCTCATTTTATAGTTTTTTTTTCCCCCTTCAGTTCTGGGAAATGAATTCAGAGCCTTGCACATACTAGACAAAGATTCTACCACTGAACTACATCCAGCACTAATTTTTTTTTGAGGGGTGGGGGGGAATGTGGAATTCGACTGTAATTTAAGACATTGCCTAATTTTAAAGTTTTTAGGTTCCAATAGATATAACTGAATTTAAGCCAAAAGGAAGGCTTTGTTAATTTATCATTATAACCAATATCTTTGTTAAAACTAGGTAATAATTAGGGCACCATATAAATAGTTTGGGCTTCCAATATAATAATTCAGTCAGCAGCATATAGGGCACACACATATACATACCTTTTTCCTAAACTATGGTTTTAGAGAAGTAATTTAGAGCTTTGATTCATTTGGTGTAATTCAGAAATTATTGTGTTTTTACAGTATGCCACTATTGTGTATTATCTAAAAATCTGTGTTTCCTTTTTAGGCAATCGATTTCTCATTATTTTGAAGCAAACATATCTTCACCAGAAGCATACTGTATCAATGATTAGATACTTTGAACTACTGGTTATTAAAAGACCACATAATGTTTTTACTCTGAAAAAATCACAGTTATATTTTTGAGGCAGAAAAGGAGTACTAGTGTGTAGAAAAGTAACTTCACAATTGAATTAGCATTCTTTCCCAAAACATACATTTCATTTTTTTCTATTCACCTTTTGGTGCAAATACATTTTAACTAGCTTATACCCTATTACCCTAGTTGATCTTTACTAGATGTTGTTTCCCATGGCAGACCATTTTCATTTTTTCTACTCTGTTTCTGTTCTTTAAAGTGTGTACTAATGTTCCCGTGACTATCAATGATTCCTTAATGTTAAACTTTTACTTAAATTGTATGTGTCACATGTTCCACACGGTTAATTGGACAGAATTCCAACACCAGGCAACCAAATGAGCTGTAAAACAAAATGCAAAGAAGAAACCAAGACAAACAAAACTCTCGGAAACTCCATTAGTTCAGACAAATGCATATATACACACATACACCTCCTGTATTCAACCTCAAGGCCCTACTTTCCTTTAGCCTTTTGCCTCAGACATAATCTTTCAGACTATTTTCAGTTCTGCACCCACCTGGAGTTTAACTTTTTTATCTCCTAAATCAGTGTTCCCCTCTTGGCTAAAGTCCTGGATATATAAGAAAAGAAAGGAAACAGTAAATTGAGTTCAGAGTATAGGCTCCACTTTCCCCCTTCCTTTGAGTCCTCCCATTTCCTAAGATATTTTCTTGTTGGGAGCATCTATGTGGGTCAGAGACTATGTGATCTCCATATTGTCCTTAGTTGTCACTATTTAAAACAAATAAGTGCAGCATTGCAAGGTTCCAACAACATGATTAAGATATGGATGATAGATAGATGTTGTAGTCACAAGATAGATGTTTATTAACTTTGACGCATTGGATGTAGATTAAATATCACTCTCTAAAACAATGAGATTCTCTTCACTCACTTCATAGATTAACAATATTAAACTAATTTAAAAAAATTTTTTTCTTAGTTGTAGATGAACACAATACCTTTATTTTATTCATTTATTTTTATGCGGTGCTGAGGATCAAACCCAGTGCCTCACATGTTCTAGGCCAGCGCTAAGCCTCAACCCCAGCCCCAATATTAAACTGAATATTTACATGAGCTTGATAACTTTATATTGCTTCAATAATTAAAATTACATTTATTTTTATTAATTTATTGTAGCATGGGGGATCAAACTTAGGGCCTTAAGCATGATAAGGATGTAGTACTCTATCACTGAGTGACACTTCCAAACCAAGCTTATTCTTTTTTTTTTTTTTTTTTTTTAAAAAGATTCTTGAGTCTATCTGAAGGCCAAATGATGAAAACCAGTTAAATAAAAAAATAATAAAAATCTGGGCATTTTATGACATTCCTGGTAGAAAACAAACATGAGGGAAATTGAAATTTTGTGTAAGGAGGCCTGTCTCATTCCAGCATGCTTTTACTGAAAGTTTCCACGTTTGTTTTATATCATCTACTTCTAATGTAGTGCCTTTATATGTAATTTATTAAGATTTTTTCAAGGAAAGAGCTAGAATAAATGGTCAAAATCATTGATTCTACTTATGTGATTTGCAGAACTTCTTTGGTCCTGAGTTTGTGAAAATGACAATTGAACCATACATATCTTTGGATTTGCCACGGTCTATCCTTGTAAGTAATAAAACCAATTCTGGTCACTCTTAGGAAATAATTTGAGCAATTCTGTTTTAAAAGTTGGTTTAAATACTTATAATATTTACTTTAATAAATGCCATTTACTTTTCTCAATTATAGAACAAGAAAGGGAAGAATGAGGATAACCGGAGAAAAGTAAACATAATGCTTCTGAACGGACAGAGATTGGAACTGACCTGTGATACCAAAACTATATGTAAAGATGTGTTTGATATGGTTGTAGCCCATATTGGCTTAGTGGAACATCATTTGTTTGCTCTAGCTACCCTTAAAGGTACCAATACATTTTAAATTCAGAGTACAGAATGAAAACTTGGCAACAAGCTGTCTTTCTGTACCTATAATGCCTCACTTTATTTTGGGAAATATTAACTTAATGAACAAATCAGCACTGAGAAATAGAAGTGCTATCTTTGTATAAATTTAGTGGGTTTTTTGTTTTTTAATTTTGGGTTGTGTTTTTTGAAAAAGTCTTGCTGTGTTGCTCGGTCTCAAACTCCTGGGTTCACACAGTCCTTTCATCTCAGCCTCTCTAGCAGCTGGGGCTATAGACATGTGCCACCAAACTTGCTAAAAATAAAATAAAATATAAAATTTTGCTGTTACATTTCAGAACCATTTCATATGTTAACTGCATGTATTTGTGTGTTTATATGTGGGAGCGGCACTAAACATTCTGTACAAATTAAATATTGTTGACTAACCCTTTTAGTTAGAGTCCATAATGGTTAAATGATGACATTAAAATATAAAAATAAAGCGATGGTTTTCATTCTTCCTAGGTTTCAGATGGTAGCTCAATAATAATAAATAGCTAGTATTTGTTGAAGTAGTGCCATGTATTACTTGCCCTACCAAGTGTTTTATATTCATTTTGTCATCTGATCCTTATAACATTCCTATAAGCAATAACTGGCATTATCCTTACCTTACAAGCAAGAAAATTGATATCCAGAGAGGAAAATGATGTTTTCAATATTACACAGGTAGTAAATGGTGTGACCAGGAGTTGATCTAGGTCGGTCTGTCTTTAGAAGCCACTATTTAAAAAAAAAAAAATAAAAAATTGAACTGTATTGCCAAGTATAGTGGTGCATGCTTGTAATCCCAGCAACTTGGGAGGCTGAGGCTGGAGGATCACAAGTTCAAGGCTAGCCTCAGCAACTTAATGGGACCCTCTGTGTTTTACAGTAAAAAAATAAGGTCTGGGAAAGTAGCTCAGTGGTAAAGTGCCCCTGGGTTCAACTCCAGTAACAAAACAAAACAAAAAAGAACCATACTTCCTCTACCCATATGTAGTGCCTTAGAGCTCCCTGCCATGCTTTATAACAGTCTTGTTTTATTCTTATCTAATACTATTTTGTGCAAGTCAGACTGAAAAATGAAGAAATCAAAGAGAAACTTTTCATTTAATCTGAACATTTTTTTCATTCTGTTTTAGATAATGAGTATTTCTTTGTTGAATCTGATTTAAAATTAACCAAAGTGGCCCCAGAGGGATGGAAAGAAGAACCAAAGAAAAAGAGTAAAGCCACTGTTAATTTCACTTTGTTTTTCCGAATTAAATTTTTCATGGATGATATTAGTCTGATACAGTGAGTACACAAGTGTTTCTCGTTTGCTCCTTTTGGCCCCTGCTATTTTGACTCTTTAGCTTACTGATACTGAATTGATTCTGATCATTGATAATTTCTAATTTGTTGTAAAACAAGCAGCAGAGGTCCTTCCTTTCCGTGGTTTTGTTTCCACAATTTCAGTTACCCACGGTGAACCATGATCAGAAAATATTAAATGAAATCCAGAAATAAACAATTGATACATTTTAAATTGTACACCCTTCTGAGTAACATAATGAAGACTTGTGCCAACTTGCTTTGCCCTGCACAGGGTGTGAATCATGCCTTTGTCTAGTGTATCCACACTGTATGCTCCACCTGCCTGTTAGCCACTTAGTGGCTACCTTGATGATCAGATCAGCTATTGTGGCATCTCAGTACTTGTGTTCAGGCAACCTTTATTTAATAGTGGCCCCAAAGCATAAGTATAGAGATTCTGGCAATTTGGACATGCCAAAGAGAAGATGTACAGTGCTTCCTTTAAATAAAAGATGAAAGGTCTCAATAAAGAAAGGAAAAAAATTTATAAGCTGATGTTGCTAATATATACAGTAAGTTATTGTTGTTAATCTCTTACTGTGCCTAGTTTATAAATTAAACTCCATCATAGCTGTGTATATTTAAGAAAAAACAGCATATGTAAGGTCTGGTATTATATATGGTTTCAGGTATCCACTGGGGTCTTAGAACATATCCCCTACAGATAAAGGATCTTCATTATTTCCTTCAACATGGTTTATTTAGTTCTTGTACCTTTTAAAAGCTTGATAGCAGACTTAATAATAAACTATCTGAGAAATAAATTTCTATTCCTGTAATAAAAAATTACCCCAAGATTCAAGATCAAATGCCAAAATGTTCCTGTTTATTTTCTTTCAGACACACTCTCACCTGTCATCAGTATTACCTTCAGCTGCGCAAAGACATTTTGGAGGAGAGGATGCACTGCGACGATGAGACTTCCTTATTGCTGGCGTCCTTGGCTCTCCAGGCTGAGTATGGGGATTACCAACCAGAGGTAGGATTTATTGTTTTCTCCAAAACCGCTTTTGTATTGGTGTTCTTATCCTTAGCATAAGTAAAGACTAAGCCTGGTTGAAATGATTGATGTTTAGATCCAAAGACTTAAGAGGCTAGTTTGGTGCCTAGTTCCTCAACTATATTAATGATATACAATTGTGCAACTGGGATTTATTTTTCTGTTTAAAATTATTCTGTCTTTGAATTCAAGGATATGTAGCACTTAATCCTTTTCCCACGTTCTAACTAATTGAGACTAAACAAAGGAGTTATTATTGAAATATGGATTAAAGGGATCTTTTTGTCTTCAGCATGGATTTACACAGTGAGGGCTGGGACATAGCAGGGTTCTTAGATGGAGAACTCACTGTATGTTCAGATCCTCATATTCCTAAATGTGAACCATATAAGAGCCTGTGTCACTAGATCAATGTCCTTCACAGCATTAATCCTTAACTATCATGGCATGGGACCTTTGAATGTCACTCTCTTAAAGTTGCCAGTGAGTTCAGTTAGTCTCCCTCACTAAATAGAAAAGAAATACTGATGCACTTCCTCTAAAAATCATTCCCCAGAGAGAAAATTAGAAATAGAAATATTCCATGTACTACCCAAGGCAAGAACATTAAAATAAGAGGAAGAGGGTTCACTCCAATGAAAAGCAAATAGAACCACTTACAAAACCAGTCTTTTTTCTAGGTTCATGGTGTGTCTTACTTTAGACTGGAACATTATTTGCCTGCCAGAGTGATGGAGAAACTTGATTTATCGTATATTAAAGAAGAGTTACCCAAACTGCATAATACCTATGTGGGAGCTTCTGAAAAAGAGACAGAGTTAGAATTTTTAAAGGTAAGCGTGCAGGACTACAAATGATAAATACTGCAACTCTTTCAAAAAATAAGCAAGGGGTATTGGAGGATACACATCTAAAACCTTAGGTACCATTAACTGATACTGCACATCATCCTATCTCACTTATTACTGACTGAAACTGTGGTGTTTGAATTCTTGCTTTATAGAAGAGGGAACTAAAGTTCCAAGAGGACATTCCCAAAGTCAGTAGCTACTATAAAAGCAAAATTACTATTTGAATCTATATCTGGCTTTTAACTCTGTTTTTTTCCTATCCAAAACTCTCAAAATCAAAATACATTATAAAGAAGAAACCATTGAATTTGTTGACTAGATCTGAGAGGCAAGTTCATACTCATTCTAGAATTGTTTTGTTTTTTCTAACAAGCCTAAAATTCAGTTAACATCCTTTTTAAAACTCTCTCTCCCCTGAAAGCTCACTTATTCATATAGGGGTAGAGTCAGAAAAATTGGCTTTGGTTTGAGTTCTGCCAAGTTTCCTGTGAGACAAATAGTAAGGCATTTGTGATCAAGAAAGATAATACCATACAAGCTTCCAATGCAAATAGCAAATGTGTTTTATTGATAAAAGAAACTTTGAAAACGTTCTCCTGTTTCAGCTCCATAGGATGTAACAGTATGCCTTCTATTTGCTGATCCATATTTTAGAGAGCCAAGTTTCTCAAACCTACAAAAATCTGTGAAGGTGCTTCATTCACAGAACTATACCACCTTTAAACTAGGATTCATGGTAAGAAAGCCAAGGTGGTTTGTTTTGCTTAAGTCCACATTTAAAGATAGTAGTTCAGGTTATCAAATTATATTTTTACCAACAAAGAAGGCCAGTGGGCCCAATAAAAAGAATTTGCTCTGGGATTTGTAGGCAGATAGTCTTGCATTTCAATACTTGTTTCAACTAGCCTGGTGACCTTGGACAATATATTCAACCTCTCTGAGTTTCAGTTTTCTTCCTGTAAATAGCATGCCTAATGCATATTATGTTACCCTACGCTTTTTGATAATATATCCTGCTACTCCTTTTCTCTTTAGCATCTTTCTAAATTTTTTAGGTTATTAACACAACCTTAAAAGGTTAGTGTTCTGCTTTATATCACCTTGTCTTTGAAAGACATTGGTATCTTTTTGCTAATCTACTTTGTTGAGGTATAATTTACATAACATCAAATGTATCACTTTTCAGTGTTTCCACCAGTTTCCAAAAATATATACAGTAGAGCAACCACCTCTGCAGTCACGATAAAGAACAGTTTACAAATTATGCTATGTATATATATGAATATACCACAGTGAATTCCACCTTTATGTTTATCTATGAAGCATCAGTTAAAAAAAAAAAAATAGTAAGCAAACAGAAGGAAGACCAGTAGAGTAAAGGAAGGAGAATGGTTGAGAAATGGAGATTGTAATGGAGCAAATTATATTCCATGCACATTTGATTATGTCAAATGAACCACACTATTATGTATAACTCTAATGCACTAATAAAATATTTAAAAAAATAAAAAGAACAAGGTTTGCCAAACCATGGCCTACCGATTTTGTAAATAAAGTTTTATTAGAACTTGGCCATGCTCATTGTTTACACATTGTCTACATATCTACTTTCACAATACCAACAGCAGAGTTGAGTAGTTAAACAGAAGCAAGCTTGCAGCCCATAAAGCCTAAAATATTCATTGCCTGGCTCTTTACAGAGAAAAATGTTCCAAACACTGATGAGACCTATTTCCAATACATACAAAAAAGTTCCTTGCATCCTGTCACAGTGAGTTCCCATCCACCAGACCTATTCCCTGGCAACTACTGTCTGCTATTACCCTAGTTTTTTTCATTTCTCTAATTGCATATTTAAAAAAAAAAAATCTTATGTATGCAGTCTTTTGTTTCTGGTTTTTTAACTTCAAGTAATACTTTTGATATTCATCCATTGTGTGGTATGTATCATTAGGTGGTTTTTTCTTTCCTTTATTTTATTTTTATGTGGTGCTGAGGATCGAACCCAGTGCTTCATATATGCTAGGCGAACATTCTACCACTGAGCCATACCTTTAGCCCATTAGGTGGTTTTTTTTTTTTTAATTATTATTTCTGAGTAGTTTACCTTTGTGCAGAATTAAAATTTGTTTATTCTTTCCTTAGTGGTTCTAAACATACCAATACATATTTTTGTGTGAACATAGTTTTTGTTTCTCTTGAGTGAATACCCAACAGTAGCATTGCTGGGATCTATTGGAATGTTTTACTTTGTTAAAAACTGTCAAACTGTTCTCCAAAATGGCTGTACAATTTTGTAGTCTTCCTACCAGCAGTATATGAGAATTCAGTTGTTCCTTGTTCTCAATAACACTTGGAATTTTTAGTCTTTTTCATTTTAGTCCTAGAAATAAGTGAGTAGTAGTATATCATTATAGGTTCTATATCTCTCTAATTTATACTGAGCATCTTTTTGTTTTTATTTGTCATTTATATCTTATTTGTTATGTGTCTAATAAAAACCTCTTGCCCGTTTTTCTCTCTGGTTTGATGTCTCCTTATTGCTAAAAGCACATGTTCTTTATGTTCTGAATACAATTCCTTTGTCAGATATGTATTTTATGTATATTTATTTCTCATGTTCTAAGGGGATTTTTTTGGTTTTGTTTTTTATGATGCTAAGGATCAAACCCAGTAAAGTTTTAGTTTATCAATTTTTTCTCCTATGGTTCATGTTTTTCCTGTCCCATCTAAGAAATCTTTGCCTAACCCAAGGTTACAAATATTTTCCAAGACTTACACATTTAGTTCCTGTATTTAGGCCTGTGATCCACGTTAGATTAATTTTCATATATCTGGTGAATAAGTGTTGAGATTTATTTTTTGAAATGTGGATCCAAATTATTCCAGCAACATTTATTGAAAACTGTCTTTTCCACCTTAAACTACATTGGCACAAATACAACTTCTATATTTTTATGTCTCCATTTATCAAAGTAGTCTTATATTGTTCCAACAGGTCTGCCAAAGATTAACAGAATATGGAGTTCATTTTCACCGAGTGCACCCTGAGAAAAAGTCACAAACAGGAATATTGCTTGGAGTTTGTTCTAAAGGTGTCCTTGTGTTCGAAGTTCACAATGGAATTCGTACATTGGTCCTTCGTTTTCCATGGAGGGAAACCAAGAAGATTTCTTTTTCTGTATGTACCTTTTAACCTGTTTTTATTATATTTTAAAATGAATGTTGCCAATTTCCAGTGTAACACATTAACTTTAAGTAAACTTTAGACCCTACCATTTAGTCAGGCTACCATATCTTAATACTATTTAACTCTTTCTTCTTAGTTGTAGGAAGTATTACTGAGATTTTATTTGTTTCTTGTTTTCTCAGGAGGTGATTTTTCAAAGCTTAAGACACATTCCTAGCTGGTTATATGCTCAATTAACTTTTTAGTTAAATTACAACCAAGTTGGATTCTCTGTTAAGTCAAACTTATTTGAGTCATACTTCTCATATGGAGAAACTCCCCACGTGTTTTAAAAATACATAATTAGATTAATCCCCATAAACCTTTTGTAGCTGAAGAATGGATCCCTTATAGTATGAATTTTAAAGGTCCAGAGATTTGTTGGATTTTATAAACTAGTCCTATGACTTTCTGCAGTGTTAGGTTTTAGTGTCTACTTTCTATGAAGTTCGAAAAGTGATTCTTAGAAAACACGTTTATGGAAGAAAGTGAGCTCTAAAAGCACATTTTGATATTGAACGCAGTGTATCTGAACATTCAGTGCCACTAGCAAACCCCAGAAGTGAATAAAAAAGTATATACATTTGGGTATTTATTTTTCTAATGTTATTCAGGGATTACTGACAATTTTAGATGTTATCTGGGCTGAAATGTATTCTTACGAGGAGATCAAGATATCAAGGTCATGGTGGACTCTGGATAATATTCAACGTAAGGACCTTTGAAATCAGTTCTAGACCTAATGGTTAATTGATTTATTTTCCGTGAAACCCAGAGGTGCCACTAAGATTTCTAGATAATAATTTGTTCTCTCAGGAAAGCCCAGACCACCAATTTACCTTCCCTGAATGGAACTTCTTGCAAAGCACATATCTGAAGGAAACCTTAGACTGGTTAAATACAGTTCTAATTTGGATCAGTTTTCAAGAGGCAATAATCAAATCATCATATAACATTCAGCTTTATGTCATTTGCCAAGCTATCACAGAAGCCCCTATATATAGAACCCTATATATAGCCATGATGAGCTCATTTTTAAAGATATGTGACAGTGTAGAATAGAACACACTCTCTTGTAAACTCTGCCTGTATGTAACAGTACTCATTGATCCTGAAGTTCTTTCTCTAACATAGAACTCTATTTTTAACTCTCCCCTTTTTCTTCTACTGACTTCTATTTCTGTGAGAATATCAAAAAGTCATCCTTTGGCCTTCTCATCTCTCAGTTCCTTCAGACACAATTTTTATCCATTCCATCAATTAACTCTTAGAACCAGATATTTTTCTAATTTATTTCAAACCACATTTTACTTAGATATTAAATCATGTATAATAATATTTTTTCTAATTTTTTGGACCTCTTAACCTATATTTGGTGAGACTTTTTTGTCCTATGCCCGTTGTTATCTTTGGGTGTTTTATAATAGATACCAGTTGTATACCGCTTTTGACTGATAGACTAAGGAGATTCTGTCATTCATATTAATGCTTCAATCCGTGAGAGAGATTTTCAGTGATGGAATTCACTGTCCTTGCAAATTACTTGACAGTAGTTAATAGGTATGTTTGTTAGGAAATAAAGTTCCCTAACTATTTGAAAAGTTATTAGTCATATTTTTGATAATCAAGATATTAATTTTTTGTTATTATGTCTTTAATGCAGCTCTATCACTTGCTCATTTCCATTTTTAACGATTGGCAACAATATCTAGATAGCATTTTAACAATGTTCCTTTGTTTTTATTGCATTTATTATAACCTATTTTTATAGCTAAATTCTATTTTTGGCAAAGGTACTCGTTTTCTGTTTAAATTTGGGATATAGAGTCTCTTTAATGTGAATATACATGAGAAAAGTAAATTTTAAAATTTATAAATAGCTGGGTGCAGTGGCACACACCTGTAATCCCAGTGTCTGGGGAGGCTGGGACAGGAGAATCACAAGTTCACAGCCAGCCTCAGCAACTTAAGGAGGCTCCAACAACTTAGCGAGACCCCATCTCTAAATAAAATATTAAAAGAGGTGAGGATGTGGCTCAGTAGTTAAGCACCCCTGGGTTCAATCCCTAATACACTTCCCCTCCCCCCCAAAAAAAGTATAAATAAGTAAGCCAGAAATTATAATTGGCATTTGGGTAATATTCTGTCATTATATCTTTTGTAATCCTATTAAATTTGATTTTTCTGTGCCTGTTTTTTTTAATTTGAAATAAAGATAAGGGACATGAAATAGAATAATTTGAACAGAGGTAAGAGCTTTAGTAGAATCTAACTGTATTTAAGTTATTCTCTAAAGAACTAATCTTAGATTCCTGGCATGTTGAATGCTCATTTTTGAAGGCATGGATTACCTGAAAGGTTACAAACTTTGGAAAACACTCCTACACAAAAGACATTCATTTTTTAAAAATGTCAGGGAAATAAAACTGATTTGTCATTTTTCTACTTTCCCTGAATTAGTTAAGAATTGCCATCTCTAAATATCAAAGCATTTCATCTCTCAACCCACAGTTATGTTATTCAGTACCATTTCATTGCCACATTTTCTTTAACTTCCCATATATTCTAGTCCAGCCTTCGTGACATCCAGATTCTACCTAATTAAATCACAGCTGTTGTTGTATATTAATTTTAAAAAACGATTCTTATTGAACTTCAATTTCTTTACCCAATGGAGCAAAACACTTATCTCTTGTCATTTTTTTATTTAAACAGTCTCAATATTTGTAAGCATAGCCATCAACTCAAAATGTTGATTAAAAATATCATTAAAAGAAACTGTTTCTGGGGTTGGGGGTGTGGCTCAAGCGGTATCGTGCTCGCCTGGCATGCGTGCGGCCCGGGTTCGATCCTCAGCACCACATACAAACAAAGATGTTGTGTCTGCCGAAAACTAAAAAAATAAAAATAAAAATATTAAAAAATTCTCTCTCTCTCTCTCTCTCTCTCTTTAAAAAAAAAGAAACTATTTATTTCTCTTGCTGATGGCTATAATTTCTGAAATAATATTAATTTATTTCCTGAATTTGTTTATAATAATATAGGATTATATTTATATTAGATATAGGTCAAGGAATACCCATGCCTCATAATGGGAAGTATGAATAATATCTCTTTTTATAAATTATATTTTGGCAAATAAGAATCACAGGAAAGCATCCTAACATTGAACACCTCTGATTAATATTGTAGAAAAAGAAAATCACGTTGCAAAATACATCAGATGGGATAAAACATGCCTTCCAGACAGACAACAGTAAGGTATGCCAGTATCTGCTGCACCTTTGCTCTTCCCAGCATAAGTTCCAGCTACAGATGAGAGCAAGACAGAGCAACCAGGATGCCCATGATATTGGTAAGAAAGAGCTCATAGTTTCAGGAGATTCCAGGGCATATGCCTGACTTTTACTGCAGATTTTAGAACTGCCATGTTTAGGATTGAAAACTTATAAGGCATATATATCTGTTAAATGACTAAATCAAAAGTATAAAGGTATTACAAATGAAGCCAAGATTTCAGCTTTATGTTCGTTTTGAAAACAGCACCCCCAGATAAGTCAGGGAAAACCTGTTGAAATGTCTATTTTGTACTTAGCAATAAGCTATTTAATGTAAATGTTATTGAAAAGTTTGGGCCGTGTTTTCAACCCACAGAACAATTCCACGTTATTTGGGAAGGTTTAGACCAACATGCATGAAACAGTAATACACAGTAAGGTTCAAGATTTTAAGATTATATCATTCAGACTCTATGATCCATATTACAGAGAAGAGGATGATCAGAAGCTAGAAGACTGGACAGGTGGCACTTAACTGTATTTCAAGGAGAAAATAATTAAAGTTGTTTGGGGATAAATTGAAGGATAAAGGAGAGAACATGGGAAACAAAGCAGGGGACAAGGGGAGTATACACTCAAAATAGTGAAGAAACAGACATACGGTTTGTGGTGGCAGATTTAAAACCTGTCAGTTTTACTTGAGTGCATCCCTATTAGGAGGCCGAGATGAATAACTACAGAACCAAATATAAATGGTCAGGGAAGTGGTTGCAGAATTTGAAATATTTGCATATATATAATGAGATTGGGAATATGTCCCAAATCTAAATATAAGACTGATTTCTGTCTCATACACCTTACACAATAGCCTCAAAGGTGATTTTATACAGTATTTTTAGTATACCTATGTTTCAACTATTATCTTTCACATGAGATTAGGTATTGACTTTTCCACTTGTAGCATAATCTCAGTACATCATAAGTTTCAGAGCTTGGAGCATTTTGATTATTACAATCGTAGTACCTACATCATAAGGTCATTGCAAAGTAGAAATCAATTCATATATGTAGAGCACTTTAAAAAGTGCCCAGCAAACCAGGCTGGGGATGAAGCTCAGTGGCCAAGTGTTTGCCTAGCTTAAATGAAGATCCTCAGCACCAAAATAAAGAGAGGGGGAAAAAAAAGTATCCAGCAGAGTGAAGTGAGGATTCAGTAAATATTCATTATTATTTTTATCATATCATCATCAAACTTATTTTACCACTACTACCTTTACTACTTTACTGTTGGGTAGTAGTTATGGTAACAGTATAATCTGCAACAGAAAGAGATACTGCTACTATAGTTCTGTGTACTGCTCTGCTGTGTACCACATACCATATAGCAGTAACAGCAGTAGTAGATGAATGACCTTAGGAAAGTAACCAAATTTTTAGATATTTATTTTTTTCATCCATGAAGGGGAAATGCTCTTCATATCTCACAGATTAGCCCCTAGGAACAAAACAGCTATCCATCCTTAAACTCAGATGGTAAAAGCACTTTAAGATGGTATTATCTCTATGTTCTCCCAGATTTCTGTAAACCTTCAAAGGAACTATTGCCTGCTTGGAAATGGGATAGAATTAGCTATCTACCTATTTAGCTGTCCATACCAAACAAGTGAAATTACTGATATAATCCCTAGGAGACTGATAAGCTTTAAAAAAAAATGTGTGCTACTTCCTTAGCGTGGTAGTATACTATGCTATAAAAGACCTTAGAGGCCATTAAAAATTTCCAAAATTTTACTAATGAGGGAATTAATTCCAAGAAGACAGTATCTCACTTAACCTCAAATAGTAAGAAGTCAAACTAGGGTGGAATGCTGGTCTCTTAGTTCCTAATGCAGCACTCTTACTATTACAAATAAGTAATTTGCATGAAAATAAATTTTAAAAGAATCACTTTCTGAGCACTTACTATTTGTAAGTGGTAAGTACTATGGAATAACAGAAGAAATGAAGTCTCTTTCCTCAAAAGAGTGTAAGTTGACAATATAGAGAAATACAAAATGATGTAAGAGACTGGACAAAGAAACAAAGTAGAAAGTATGCATTGCAGACTGAGTGTGGAACTAGCAAACTTTTGAGTTAAAATTTGCAACATTGGTATTAAGATACAGGTTCATTCTGTTGTCCTTCCCTATACTGATGATCCATGTTGGAGTTCTTTCCAGTTGGAAGGCAGTGGGACAGATGAGATAAGTAGTTGGTTTATGCTCCTATCCCATGAATATGTATACTGTCTTAAGCTCTATCCAAGAGTAGGTTATGAATGGCTTTGAATATCCATAATCCCTGGTATGTTAACAAAATCTAAACTGAACTGGTTGCCCTTATTATTACAAAAGTTTGGTCTATATTTTCCTTAAAAATGAAGAATTCTTTTGAATGTAAAGGCATTCCTGTAATTGAATCTGAATAAGGCTTCATTTTTCTTCTTTGATAAAGGCTGCTGTCAAAGTAAAAGACAATAGAAATAATGTTATCTGCTTTATTTTTTTTTTTTTTTTTAAATTCTTTTTTTTTTTTTCAATATCTTTATTTTTCATTTATGTGGTGCTGAGGATCAAACCCGGTGCCTTGTGCATGCTAGGCAAGCACTCTACCACTGAGCCACAACTCCAGCATGTTATCTGCTTTAACAAAATTCCACATTTTAAGTTAAAGATGATTACGGTAATTTTTAAACTAAAAGTCTTTTTCTAAGGTCTTATTTTAACCTAATGTCTACTTCTACTTTAGAAGAAAGAACATTGAATTTTCCTGGTGACAATGAGACATGTTTATTTAAATTTCATTTCAATGCATAGATATTAAAAATCTTCAATGTTTTCCAACCTTTTTTCTGAGATGAAATATTATGAATCTTCTTAGAAATTAGAAGATAGGTGAAACAGTTTAAAGATCGAAGTCACTAATCATTTGACATTTTTCTTTTTAAAAGAAATTTTTCCCAGCTGTTTTACATAGTGGTCAAGGTTATTCTAAATAGAGTGCAACACAGGGTTGCCACTTTCCAGAAGGAAACAGCCAGTGCCTTGTGGTGTGGTTTAATTCATGAACAACTAAATCGTAAAATTTTATGCTCCTAGTCCATTATTTACAGATGATGCAATGTTTTTGTTAACAGTCTTTAATGTTAAAATACTGCTATGATATTGATTCCTACTGAATAGAATAGCCAAGCACCTATTCTCTAGTATTTCTAAATTTAGAATGTAAAAGATGATTTGGGATGTGTCTTTAGCAGTGAAAGGAGCTTAAGCATTAAGAGATTCCCAGCTCACTGATCATGTTAATTTACAGATACCAAAAGAGAGAAGATTAGTACCATTTGATTCTCCTGTGGCTCTCGTACCTCAATTAAATCATGAGGTCAGCAAGGTGGAAAGGTGGGAATTGGCACAGTAGTGAAATAACAACAACAACAACAACAAAATTGTGCCTTAAAATCTTTTTTTTTTCTGGTAACAGCATCATTGATCTATAAAGTACAAAAATATATAATTGTAAAGTGTATGATTCAGTGGTTTTTACTACATTCACAGTGGCACACCCTCACCACAATCTGCCTTAAGCTTTTAAAAATACAATAAAGGAGAGCTTTTTCTCTGGGCACAACTTTCCTCTGTGCAGCTTCTTTTTCAGGCATGTTGGCCCATCCGGGTTTCATCTTTCCCTCTCCCCATCCTTGGTTTTCTGATACTTTAGCAGAAATTTATGCTACTAAAGTTGAAGACTTCTCTTTTAAATACCATTCTCATTTCTAAATGAGAGCTATAAGAAATTGGGGTCAGCATGAGCAAGTCTAAACTGCAAACATTTTTGGATCTAAGAATTATGAGATGAAGTGTAAAACATTGAATAGTCTATGGCTGAGCAATAACTAAAAGGATGGAGAGATGGTATGAAAACCATAATCTTCAAACTTCCTTTTAAAAACCGTTGATTGCTACATTGTGAGAACTATCTATCTATGCTGGCAATCAAAACGGTTAAAAACTGCATGCTATATTTTGCTTATTAAAATAACTCTTCTCACCAAGGTACTGCAATGTTTCCATCGTGTAAAGCAATCCTATTTCCTTGTAGAGAGAGCTTCGTTTAGGAGCCTGAATCTCCAAGCAGAGTCTGTTAGAGGATTTAATATGGGACGTGCAATCAGCACTGGCAGTCTGGCCAGCAGCACCCTGAACAAACTTGCCGTTCGACCTTTATCAGTTCAAGCTGAGATTCTGAAGAGGCTATCCTGCTCAGAGCTGTCGCTTTACCAGCCATTGCAGAACAATTCAAAAGAGAAGAGTGACAAAGCTTCATGGGAGGAAAAACCTAGAGGGATGAGTAAATCATACCATGATCTCAGTCAGGCTTCTCTCTATCCTCTTCGGAAAAATGTCATTGTTAACATGGAATCCCCACCTCAGACCATTGTGGAGTTAGTGGGAAAACCCTTTCACCAGATGGCAAGATCTGATACAGAATCTGTGGCAGGATTCACAAAACTTAAGTAAGAACATGATTAACTAACCCAAACTACATATTTATAAATTCTACATTTCATACATTTGTTTTTGTTTAGACATTTTATTATTTTCACCATATTTTTTTTACATTGACACTTCCCCTCCTACCTTCCTTTTCCCTCTTTAGTTCAAGGTCTGTTGCAAGTTTAAATAGAAGCCCTGAAAGGAGGAAACATGAATCAGACTCAGCCACTGAAGACCCTGGTCAAGCATATGTCATAGGTCAGCATGAACAAGCTTACCTTCTTTCTTCCATACCTCATGCTCATAGTGAAGTGAACAGGATCAGAAATTGTTTTGGGTTCCATATACTAATTGCCAAAACAGTGACTATATAGTTAAAATTTACCACATAAAATTTAAAATTGATTGAACACAAAATTGCTTCATGGCACTATTACTTAGCTTCCTCTTGGTCACATTAGTCATGACAGTCGTACCAAGAGAACCCAGTTTGTGCCTTGCTTTGGATTACCTTTCCTTGGCTTTTCATCACAAGCCTGTGTGAGTGGCATCTGATACTGCTGCATTTTTTTCAAAATGTTTATTTAGGCTGCTTTCAGCTTCCCATGAATGGAATTGTCTCTAAAAAAACTTAAATAATTTTTTTAAAGATTTTTTTAAAGATGGACACAATATCTTTATTTTATGTATTTTTATGTGGTTCTGAGGATTGAACCCAGTGCCTCACATGTGCAAGGCAAAAAACTTAAAATAATTTTATGAAACTTGCAATGGTTGTTGATAGGTGGAAATTCTTGTTGATTTTAAGTTTCTTCAAATTTCCCAGCTAGCTTTTAAGGACCTGTTAATTATTTAAATGTAGAAGTTATGTATTTTTGGGGATGCATGTGTGCACATATATACCACCAAATATATTCTCAAATATATTACATATTACCTTATAAGATACATAGTTCAGAATGCCATTGCCTCATGTGTTTTTGAAGGGGAATGCAGTGAAGTCAATCTTTCAGAGGAGTTGGTATTTAAGCACAGAGATCAGAACTACTATTCAAAAAATATGAAACAGCTGAACAGAAAGAAAGGAAACAAGGATACCCACTTCAATTATTTCACCAAAATACTAGTACTTAATTCTCCTTGGACCCAGTATTTAGCCCAAATGACCCAGAGTTAAATGTAGATTTTTTGTTTTTGTTTTTGTAATTAGAATAGAGCATATTAATGAAGTCAGAAAAACAAATTATGTTATAGTTGATGAATATTTGGGGGGAAGCAACCTTAATAATGTAGACATCCACAACTTTCAGAGATTATACTATCATTTTTAAGTTGAATCAGTTAAAAAAATTAAAGTAGGTGAAAGACAAGATTTAATTCTATAGGTAACTCTGTTGTTGAAAACAGTATAAAAAGAATCCTTTAGGAAAAAAATTTCAGAATATTTTCACATATAATGAGATTTCTGAGATTCTAAACTATTTTTATTAGGAAGGCTTCATCCTACATAAATTTTTCACATATATCAGGCAATTAGTAGTATTGTATAGAAAAATACAGATAAACTGAAACAATGTATAAAAGTAAAATTTATTTTCTGCATTTGTTTTTTATTTAAATCATTCTTATTGAATATTTAATTTTCTTTTAACGTGGACAAATGCTTTTAAAACTTAATTTCATCATTTCATATTTGACATCAAAATGTCACTGTCAGAAACAACACAGTTTGCTTAACTACTACTTAAAAATAGTAAGTATGCCCATTGTGGGAAGACATTTTTGTACTTAAAAATGTTGCCGCTTTAATGTTTTACTGATTTTTATGAATTTGTCACAAGAAATTACTTTAGTATCTGACCATTTTTAAAATGTCTAATAATTTAATTTATACCACAGGAATGAGTATGCATAGTTCTGGAAATTCTTCATCCCAAGTACCCTTAAAAGAAAATGGTAGGTTTACAAAATGTTTTTTCCCCTCATTTTCATCATATCCTTTCTCTTTTCTTATGCCCTATCTGATAGACTTTGATTTAACAATGGAGATTCTTTAGTTCTTTGCCAAGGATTTAGACCTCAAAATGGAGTTAAAGGACATTTTTGTATTTTTCACATCTTAGTTTTGTAATGGACCTTGGTTTCCGCTACTGTTGATGAAGTAGATGCATAACAAATTGGAGATAAGGACACTAAAGTAGTATTTCAAGTGGGAGATAATTTTGGATAGAAAGTTTTAACTGAGGCAGTTATTTTAAAAGGATGCTTGAACGAATCTTCAAAGGAGGATTTGCTCAGCCAGAACAGTGGAGATAAGCATTCCAGAGCAAGGGCACAGCATAATTAGAAAGACATAGAAACAGGATTAAAAATAATAGATTCTGGAAACAGCCAGGGTATCAGTAGGGAGGCATGTGATGGTTGGGGCAAAGCTTGAGAACTAAGTAGGAACCCATTTTCAGGATTATCCTAAACATTATGGGGAGAATTTAGAGACTTTTAATGTTGAGATTTATAGTTTAGAAGAATTTTAGAAACAAAGTTGTAGGAAGAAGAATAGAAATATGCAGTGCCTTGAGTTAGTGGAGTCAAAATTTTTAGAATTTTGAAAGTATTTTCATATGCATTATCTTTTTTGATCTTTCTAACAATTTTATATGTAGAAAAAAAGTATTTTTATTACTCCCAATATATTACTTTTCTCCAAAAATGTTTCAGAGTCTTCCCCCCTCAGACTCTGAAAATGAAACTAAAAAGCCTGATGAGAAGTAAATATGCTAATCAAAATGATTGATACAGCTAAACTTGATGAAGATCTAATTTTTCTGATAGCAAAGGCAAAAAGGGAAGGCTTAAGAAAAATGTTGAATCATATGGAATTAGAGTTTTTGTAGGTCAAACTGTCAAACACCAAAGTACTACTTCCTAGTATCATCATTCCCTTAATAGAAATACACAGTCATTTTTCAAGGGAGTAAAATCTTTCTTGGAAGTAAAATTGTTTCCAAAATAAAAAAAAGACATACAATGTCTTAAATACTCAAAGAGGAATTGTTTTGTCAACTCTATTTTGGATTTATCAATCCTCAGAAAATCTAAGGGCATATAATTAAAGGAAAAAATTCCTAAACATATGTAAGTTACTAAGACCCTGGTCATATAGTTTTCTGATGATCAAACTTCTTACATAAATTGAATCTACATCACCTGCATACCTTAAATAGTTTTTCTTTTAACATGCCCATAATGGTAATAATTATTGACTAACATATTGAGTACTTGCTATGTCTAAGCCCTGTTTTAAGCATTTTACATTGTTTCTCATTTTATCTCCATAACAACCCTATGAGATGGGTGCAAATGTTATTTCCTCCTCACAAATGAGAAACCATAGCATAGAGAAGTTCAGTTGTGCAGGTCATGGAACTAGCATCTAGCAGAACCATGATCTCTGAACATAGGCAGTCTGTTTCCAGAACCCATGCTCTATCCCACATTTTAGACTGCCTCCCAACATAATAATGCCTAACTATCTATAGTTTTATATCTCCCTGCTAAACTTTGAAAGAAGCAGGACAGTAATATACTTAAGGATGAGAACTTGAAATATGTTTTAATTGAATATCTGATGGAAACTTTATACTAGATATCCAATAAGCATGGGCAGGTTTAAATAATTTCTCTGCTGGAACATTTAGAAGCTTCATCTTTCCACCTGGCCCATACAGAAGACACCTTCTTATAGGTAAACCCTAGACAGCTTGAAAACTAGTCCATGCTTTTCTCAGATTCTTTTTGAACCTGCTTAAGTGGGCTAAATTAGTGCTCTGTTGAGAGTCAAATTTTCACACACAGAGCATGGCAAACACATTTTTCCAGATAAGAAAACAAATGGTCATAAAATTAAATTAATTGCCCACAAGTTGAATATAGGACTTCTTATTCTCATTTCAGTGCTCTTCCTGCCAGCAGAAATTATTAGATGAGAATTATGAACAACACATCACCTAATACTGAATTATTTGTCAATTAAAATAAGAATGAATGCATTAAATTTAATCTTATCTTTTATGGCCTCTAGAAATTCTTGAAGAATGTGAAACATAAAAGAGAAATTATAAAGTCGTGAGTGTTCTAAATTTGCACTTTGAAACAGAGATATGTAAAAGATTTCAGACCCTTTTAGCTAAGTTTGTCATGTAGTTTCCGGAAGTGTCCAAACCACCAAATATATACTAGTATTTTATGAGGTTGCGCACACAGTAATCATAAAAAACACAAAATGCAAAAAAAAAAAAAAGTCCTATAAAGTAAGTTATCCTGGGACACAGTAACATAGTACAAACACTGAAATAAACCTTTTCCAGTGTTAAAACTAATTATTGTCTTTATGAGCAATCTTAACTCCCAAGTAATAAAGTGTTGTACAAGTAGAAATAAGACTTTAAAATACACTTTTTTAGTCAGGTGTCAAAAACTATTGTAATTTCAGATGCTAGTGTTCCTCTCACTTAAGTTTAATTAAAATGCCTGCAATTTGAAAATTATAATTAAAATTGAACATTTAAAGTGCAAATAAAGGATGGAACAGATAGTAGAATTAACCAGGTGTAAAAGATGGTCAACTAAACTGAGAACTAAAAGGAACTTTAAAGGTTCTCCAGTCCAAGTCTTTTTATTCTATAGATCATTTAAATGAGTCCCAATGATGTTATGTGATCCCAATTGACTTAGTTGATAAGTGCTGACTCAGAAGTAAAACCCTGAAGTTTTGGTTATGATCCACTTTACCACCAGCATATATAGCATAGTAGTAGCATAACAATGAAAAAACTTCTCTTAGTTTTTAATACCAGTATGGTACTGCTGACCCATCATCCCCAGGAGATGAAATAGGTTTTTTCCCCCCCCTCAATGATGGATTTTTCCAGAGCCCTCTCTACTAAGTCCTCTTATCAGAGTTTCCTCTATTGACTCTTTCCTTAGTAGCATGGAACTTCCTAATGATATTGACTAGGATGTATATCAGTAACCAAGAAAATCAGGTTTTCTTGCTAAAATATTTTTAGATTGATTCAGTTTTTATAGTCATCTCCATTTTCACTTATTAAAATCCCATCCTACTTCCTTGAAGTCTTCTTCTATTCCATTTTAGTTTTGGCATTGCTTTACTAGACAATTTAATTTGCTCATAAACATACCTGTCAACAGCATTACTTGAACTATTCTAGATAAGGACTGCATACCTCTGTGACCTTCATGAGAGATGAGCAAGGCAGCACTAGAACAACAGTCCCTAAAGCAGAGAGGATATGCACACAGCTTCTGAATTACACACTATTCAATTCTTCTCAAGTTATTTCCCAGGTGAACTTTACTGGAAATGACACTTGCATGTATTACTTAAAGGACTAGAATTTTCAAGTTGAAGTTCCTTTTCACTTTAAAATACTTGTAAATTTTGGTGTGATGCATATTAATGGGAAAAGAAAGTTTGCAGACTACTATATAACCTCAGCTGCTGTGTCCCCCAATTTGAAAAATAAAATGAAAAGTGTTTTGACTAGGTACATGTTTATGACTGCACATGTGGTGTGACTCTACATCGTGTACCACCAGAGAAATGATAAGTTGTGCTCCATTTGTGTACAATGAATCAAAATGCATTCTGCTATCATGTATAACTAATTAGAACAAATAAAATAAATAATAAAAAAGAAAAGCGTTTTTAACATTGACTATATAAAAAGAATTGATAAATGGACACTCAGCATGTGTACAGTATTATTTAGTAACATGCAACTGTACCCTGACATCCTCTGCCTTCCACATTGATGTCACTCCATGTACTTCCAAGACTGAGTAGAGGAGAAAGAATGTCCTGGTTACAAAAGAGTGTGTTAGCAAAGTTTCCCTTTCTAATCAAATATTCATTCAACTCCCACCTACTCAAATCTTATCCTCCATATATTTCCCAATAACACTTTCAGCCTTCTTCAAATCTCAGCTTTTGTGGGTATCTTACTTATTGCAGTAAAACCATCTATATATTCAATTTCTTAAAATCCTACCCTACTTCCTTGATATTTACTCCTCTAACTCCTGCAGGAAGAAGCCTCTACTCTCTCCAAACTGCTATAGTACTTCTTAGGACCTCTCTGTAGGTCTAATGCATGCCTTTATAATGCAGCTACTTTATTGACAGTACTTAAGGCATTTTATTTAAAGGTAAAGTTAGATCTTTGCTTTTCTTAAATTTACTGTGCTAGCAGCTTTCATATAATTACCTCACTTTATTTCCAAAAAAAAAAGCTTAGTGATAGACTTTGACAAACACATTGCTCAGAAAACATTTGAAGTTAGACTAATTGAATGAATGGAGGCTGAAATCTCAGTAGTAGGTCCTTAAATATAGAGAGCTCTGTTGCTTCTAGTTAGGGAGGTGAGATAGCTATACAAATACGCACACACACTTAGGAGCCAGATGAGTAATATTAGCCAATCCTGTTGTCATATATATTGGAAATGAAAATGGCATTTTTATTCTTTGAATGAAAATATGCCTTGTAACAGATATTCCATAGGAACGTTCCAAGTATTATTCAAAGGCAGAAACACTGCATAGCACAAGCTGACTTTATCTTCACAATAGTGACAAAAGTTCACATTTAAAAACTGGCTGGGTTAAGTGCCTTTCTTTCTTTCTTTCCTTTTTTTTTTTTTTTTTTCTTTTTTTCCTTTCTTGATTAGGATAAGGAACAGAGTAACTCAGGAGCCATCTTTCATTTTATTCTGTTTATACTCCTTGGAATTTGTTTTTCTGGAAACTACATGCACTCAGACTTATCCAGTACCATAGTGTAAAGAATTTCATTTTAGTTTCTAGCTGTCCAATTCCTGGACAGCAAGTGCTTAAATCTGAAATTTGAGGGGGAAATGGAAAGTCAAAACAATCATTATCAGTTTATCACTTTACAAAGCAATTTGATTATGTCTTTGTCTCTTACCACTTCACCAAGTGGTCACTTAAACATTCGCTTGTTTTAATTCTTAATATGGCCTTACTCCTTGTTTATTTTATTTTATGAGTTTTGTTTTGTATTATTTTATATTTGTTCTAGCTGAAAACTAAAAGTAGTTGCCTATTTTAGGACAAAGGAATCTTGAATATTTAGATAATGTATTTAAACTAGGCCTTAAGTAATGGATGGGCTTTTTTTGCTTAGGACTCCCTAATACATAAAGCTCTTCAAACCATTGTCCAGAAATTTTTTTTTTTGTAATTCCATTAACAAAATCATTACAAATACTAATTAATATTACTCTTATTGATTGTAACTAAGTTTTAGCCAAAAAGGAACAACAGAATAGTACATATACTATAGAGAGCTAAGAAACTTTTACAAAAATGGTGCTTAAGATACAAGGGTGTTGGGAACACACGTCTGTAATCCTAGCTATTTAGGAGGCTGAGGCAGGAGGATCACAATTTTGAGGCCAGGCTGGCCAGTTTAGTGAGACCCTGTTTCAAAATGGCTGGGGGTGTGGCTCAGTAGAAGGACACTTGCCTAGCATATAGGAGATCCTGGGTAGAACCCCCCAGTACTGCAAAAAAGAGAGATAATTATCTCAAGAGAGGAAATGGTTGTTGTTTTCTCAAACTAAAGGAGTTTGCTTCTAGAATATGAAGTATCACATTTACATTACTTAGTTATCAATATGTATTGTGTAGCAAAATTACTAGTTGTTTTATAACAAAGTTTTAAGTCCATGGATTATCTTATGTTGGAACATTGATAAATAAGATCTATGGGTTATAGTGATTTGTTATAAGAATGCAATGAAGATTTAAGGAAATTCTGGTTTATGAGTTTAGAGTTTGAATTTGAAGACTCAGTTTACAGAACTACCATTCTGAATGTGTTGAACTCACCACCACTACCACCTTCATCACAGACCAGTTCACTCTGTCAAGTTGTAATTGATGTTGAGAACTGTGTGTGCTCAAATGCTTTAATTGCTAAGTAGATGAGTTAGCTTGATTAAAATGGCAATGAATTTTCATATTTATTGGTTTCATTAAGAAGGTTATTTGTGAATGATTAGCCTACTTTTAAAAAAGTATATGGAAATTAGAGTAAATTCTTGTTTTGATGCTGACATTCATTTAAATAATTGATTTAACTAGCGTTTACTAAATACTGACTTCAGGCATCTGGGGGGGCAGTGATACCAGCTATAATGTTGAAGAAGTCACAAACAGTTATTCCTCATCTGCAAAATGGTAGTTGAAAATCTTTTGAGACTAAATGTGCCAGACAAATCATATAGTGGGATTTAAAAAAAAAAAAAAAAGATTCAGTTTCTTCCTTAGTGCTGTTTTGCTCAAGAACTTACTAATAGTATTTTATTAATTATGAAAAAATGTCAACCATTAATTAGAAGGAAATGTTGTGTGTGTTTGTGTGTGTGTGTGTGTGTGTGTGTGTGTTGTGGTTTTGGTACTGGGGATTGAAACCAGGGCCTTGCATATTAGGCAAATAGCAAGTGCTGAACCACCAAGCTATACCCCAGGCCCTGAGGTTTCTGTTTTGAGACAGGTCTTTCTGTAAGTTGCCGAGGCTGGCCTTGAATTTTTAACCCGCCTCAGTTTCCCAAGTTGCTTGGATTAGAGGTCTGCATATGCTATCTTACCCAACTAGAGGGAGGTTTTTGTATATTAAGTGTTACTAAACTCAGAGAATCAACTGTGATGTAACAAAAAGAGGTAGAAAACTGAAGTTGAAGGCTCAGCTCTTTTCTGTGCTTTCTTATTAAACTTATTCAAATCATTTATCCTCTTGATATTTATTTACTCATTTGTAAATGAACTGTTCCATTTCAAAAGAAATAGTTTATGAGGGAAAAATGTTGTGTAATTATTTTTAAACTATAAATCACTATAAAAATATGATAGGGCTAGGGGTGGGGCTCAGTGGTAGAATGCTTGTTTAGCAAGAACAAGGCCCTAGGTTCCATATCAGGGAGCAAGGCGGGTGGGGATACGTATATTTGATAGCAATTCCAGTAACCTTAAAATATATTTTTAAAGGGACTGAACAATGTACTAAGTCTTCATTAGCACTTAAATTGGAACAAACTGACAATTTTAATTTCTGAGCATGTTATGTTTATATTCTCTTAAAATTATAAATCCCCTATAGATGTGCTACACAAAAGATGGAGCATTGTATCTTCACCAGAAAGGGAGATCACGTTGGTGAACTTGAAAAAAGATGCAAAGTATGGCTTAGGTAAGTCACTATGAGATTCTTGAAGGACCATGAGAATTCAGAGAAGTCTAAAGTATAGCATTGGCATGGAGGCACCTGCCCAGTTATGATTAAGATACTGGCTGTTTACCCACCATCCCCCACCCCTCCCACCAAATTACCAATTACCTAGACAAAGGGCCTGCAAGATACTTCCACCAAGTTTAACAGAGGTTCTATAATATACATGTTACCTGTTAATCATTTGATCTCAGTCTTCACATTTCTGCATTTCAAGGAGGCTAATTATTAGTCATTGGGAACACCAGTATAATGAAGATCTTTTTAGAAATGTGTTGTTTTACAGGATTTCAAATTATTGGTGGGGAGAAGATGGGAAGACTGGATCTAGGTGTGTTTATCAGTTCAATTACTCCTGGAGGACCAGCTGACTTGGATGGATGCTTAAAGCCAGGTACTTCACATTTTGATAATTTCTTAAGTACTTTATTAAAACAGGCATGAATTTGCAGAGGGCAAAAGTGGAACTTAGGCAAAATGAAAATACTGGAGAGGAGATGACATTTCTAAGATTTGAAGAATTTTTCTTTGTTCTTGAAAATACTGGGTTGTCTCTTTTTATAGGAGACCGTTTGATATCTGTGAATAGTGTGAGTCTGGAGGGGGTCAGCCACCATGCTGCTGTTGAAATTTTGCAAAATGCACCAGAAGATGTGACACTTGTTATTTCTCAGCCAAAAGAAAAAATACCCAAAGGTAATGTGAATGTCTCTTAGTTGGGTGTTCTGTTTTGCTTTTCACAAGCACTTCAATACTTTGGCCCAATAAATTGGATTTAAACTGCTTATTTCCTTTCTTGCATTAATTGTTTTAGTTTTATGCATCAGTGTAACTTTTTCATTCATCAGTTCTAAGATATTTTGTTTAATTCCCCTTTAGTAATATATGCACAAAAATCAATGTCACTTAAATAAATCCTGATTATTTTGTATGTTCCATCTCTTCTTAGGTCCAATGAGAAAAAGAACTCTTTAACATTGTGTAATTAATATGGCTATATAATAGTTATATTATATAATTATATAATATTATATATTATATAATATTAGAATATAATTGTTATAATAGTTATCTATGTGCTACTTATTAGCTGTGTAAATTAAATCTCTGCCCTGCCTTGTCTACCTTGCACAGAGTTGTTAAGAGGATCAGGTAGTAGGAGGACATTGCTTGTGGAAGAAGCGCACATAGCCCGTGTGGAGCAGGACGGTGCAGTAGACAATAAAGAAGCTACAGAGTCCAGGGTCAGATTCTGTCTCCACCACTTAAAATTGTGGAGACAATTTTAATTTAGCAAATCCCTTTAACCATGCTCAGAGATCAAATGATACCATATTTTATAGATTATCAAAATCAGCTGACATAATGCATGTAAAGAATCTGTACATTCCTGCTACACATTAAGCACTTAAATGTGTTTCAGCTGTCACTATTAATAGTATTTTCAAATATAGTGAAATGTATATAGTGCTGGTATTTTCATCCCCAAATATATTAAAGAATTAACTAAAAATAAGCTGAAAAACAAATTTAGATAATGAATTTCAGGCATACCTTCTGATGCTTATGACAACATAAAAGGTGGAAGACATAAATATTTCATAATTGTATGATAAAATTTTTTAAATTTTATGTATATTAGTCATTTGACTCTTATTCATTAAATATTACATGTTACATGTATAGAACATATACCTATATAAACAACATGTTAAGTAATTGTTTACTGTGAGCAAACACAAAAGAAGGATGGGAGATAGAAGACATCACTCCTCCCATAAGACCCTTGGAACACTAACTAAAACTGTCATCTTAGGCAAAGGAGGACAGTTATAGCTAGAAATACAGCATACTGGGCTGGGGTTGTAGCTTAGTGGTTGAGTGCTTGCCTTACTGGGTTCGATCCTCAGCACCACAGTAAAACAAATAAATAAAACAAAGATATTGTGTCCACCTACAACTAAAAATAATAATAATAATAAAAAGAACTATAGCATACTTCTGAGTTTCAACCAGTCAAGACCAAAACTCTTTTTTTTTTAAAGCTGAACATTGGGTTTCATTATTTACCATAACTTAGCAACAGAAACATGAATTCAGAATTAATTTATTTTCACCTGGATCCCCATCAAAGGGATTCCATTGTAGTTTTAAGTAGATTTTTTTAATTAATTCATTTGTTCAAATATTTGTTGTATGTAACATAAAAGACACAAAACCTCTGCCCTTGTGGAAATGACACTTTATCAGGAGAGACAAGTATTGAACAGCTGACTAGACATAAATTGGAGGAGGGAAACTACACTTGTATTTATGATAGGACAACAATTGCAGCACTTTACATATAATAATTGCTACTCAGTGACTGTCTTAAGTAAATTAATGGATTGATAAATGTGAGGATAACAAAATATTGCTCTTCTTATCTCAGGACTATCATGAACGTCAAAAGAGATTGTCCTGGAAAAGGATCATGCCAGGGAGTGTTTTAACATTCTTTTATTGTTGTTTATTGCCTCATGTCCTGTTTGCAAATAGGCAGTGAAATATCAGGATAGATTAATTACACTTTTCTAAAGAGTTACAGCACATAGTTATGAGTTTTGATCCTATGTGTGTTTTTGTTTCTCTTCCAAATTTTCTATTGATGCAATTTAACAATATAATTTAGCCAGTATCATTTCCTAGTACTTTCTCTTTTCCTTCTCCTCCTCCTTCCCCCTGTCCCTTTCCTCTGTTCTACTAATATCCCTTTGATTTTAATGAGATTCCCCACCACCACTTTTTTTTTTCCTTTTTCCTCCCTTGCTTCCACATATGAGATGAAACATACAACCCTGGACCTCTGAGTTTGGCTTATTTTGCTTAACATAATGGTCTCAAGTACCATCATTTTCCTGCAAATGATATAATTTCATTTTTCTTTATGGCTGACTAAAATTCCATTGTGTGTATATACTGTATTTTCTTTATCCCTTGATCCATTGTTGGACACCTAGGCTGGTTCCTTAGTTCAGCTGTTGTGAATTGGGCTGCTCTAAACATGGGTATTCATGTATCACTGCAGTAAGATGCCTTTAATTCTTCAGGATGAATACCGAGAAGTGATATAGCAGTGTCATATGGTGGCTCCATGCCTAGTCTTTTGAGGAACTTCCACACTGATTTCCATAGTGATTGTACTAATTTACAACCTAATAGTGTAAAAATGTCCCTTTTTCTCCATATCCTCTCCAGCATTTATTATTGTTTTTATTCTTGATGGCTGCCATTCGGACTGGTATGAGATGGGATCTCAGGGTAGTTTTGATTTGCATTTTCCATGTATTTATTACTTATTTATACTTGCTAATGATGTTGAACACTTTTTCTTAAATATCTTTGTTGGCCATCTGTATTTCTTCTTTTGTGACTATTCTTATTCATTGGGTTTTGTTTTGTGTTTAAGGTTTTTTTTTTTTTTTTTTTTGAGTTCTTTATATATTCTGGATATTAATCCTCTATCAGAAGAGTAGCTAACAAAGATTTTCTCTCTGTAGGTTCCCTCTTCACATTCTTAATTGTTTCCTTTGCTGTGCAGAAGCTTTTTAATTTGATGCCATCCCATTTCTTAACTCTTGCCGTTATTTCCTGAGCTTTCAGGGTCCTATTGAGAATAGACAAAAATTTTTTAATCCACTTGTCCATGTTTAAGACCATCTATTTTGATTTTGTATATGAAATTGTTTCTTTAAAATGCTATTTTTTCGTGATATTTTGTTATTCTATAATATGACTTGAAGTGAGGCAAGAGTCAAATGACCTAGAAAATTATCAGTGTGTACACCAGACTATCCCTGTTAATAACTGGTCAGCAAAGAGGAAGGTATTGATTAATCCAGTTTGTGCTGCTCTAACAGAACATCCAAGACTGGGTAAGTTATAAAGAACAGAGGCATTTCTTTCTGTTCTGGAGACTGAGAAATCAAGATCAAGGGATTGCATCTACTTAGAAACTTTTTGTTTAGTTACCTAGTGCTGAAAGGCAGAAAGGCAGTGTAGCGCATGGGGAAGGAGATTGAAATCACTGCATTGAGCCTTTTTAAAATTAGCATTATTTCATTCATGAGGGTGGAGATTCATGACCTCAACACCTCCCGTTAGGATATACCTCCCAATACTGTTGTATTTGGGGTTAAGTTTCCAACACATTAACTTTGGGGGACACATTCAATCAAAGCAATTTTTAATTTTTCTTCTGTTTTAACTTCTTTTAAGTAATAGGATACATATAGCTTATTTTTTTAAATGTATTTTCAGTTTTAGATGGACACGATATCTTTATTTTATTTATTTTTATGTAGTGCTGAGGATTGAACCCAGTGTCCCACTCATACTAGGAAAGTGCTCTACCACTGAGCCACAACCCCAGCCCCAGGGTACATGTAGCTTATTAAATGAATCTAATTTATACTAAACCCATGAAATAAGAACTAAAAACCCTCTCAACCCATTTCCTAAGAAAACTATCTGGTGTGTATGTATGTATCTTGTATATTTGACTTATATGTGTATGTGAGATATATGTATGTATAAATAAAACAACACACATGCTTTTTTTTAACTAAAAATACAATTTTTTTTGTATTCTCATATTGTTCTTTAGCTTGATCCTGCAATATATTCTCGACATCCATGAACATGTTCAGGCTAACAATAATTCTGTTACAAATGCTGCTCCAACAAATAGACTTTTATAACATTGGAAATATATACATTTTTGAAGTTTAGATACCTGGAACTAAATTTAAAAGTATATACATTGAAGTTTTGACATGCTACCAAATGCCCTCCAAAAGTTTCACAATCTATAGCCTATCCTGATAGATATGACAGTCATCTTTATAACTCCAGTGGTACTAGAAATATCAGACATTTCTTTCCATTTTTGTCATTGAAGTAGGTAGAAAACCATATAGCCCCTGAGCAATAAGGAATTTTTTTTCATGTATTTGTTACTTATTTATACTTACTTCAAATTTCTAGTCCATGTCTTACACCCCTGTTCCAAAGAAGTTTTATTGGATTGTAGCTATTGTTTGTACATCGGGATATTAAATCTACCTATATTTCATTGTTGCAAATAGTTACTCTACAGTTGCACATTATTTTAATTTTTCCTTGGTGTCACTTGCCATATAAATTTTTTATAAATTCACATTTTTCATTCTTTTCCTCGTGTCTCCTATTATGTCTTACTTCAGAAAACTTTTATAAGTGTCTTTTGATAAGAGCTATGTATAAGAAATTTAGAGTTGCCTTCCTTGATAGTTTTTTTGTATATAAAGTATATAAATAAAATATATACAAATAAAATATAAATATTCAAATATATACAAATAAAATATAAATGTAAGTATACAAATAAAATATAAACAAGTATACAAATAAGTATTGAATAAACAAGGACCATGATGGGTGCAGAAATAGCTCAGTAGTAGATTGCTTGCTTAATATGTATATGAAAAAGAAAAATAGACAAAGAATGTTAGAGACTCAAAGAAATTGTCAATCATCTCTGAAATCAGAAAATTCTTCACAGAGGAGACGGATATGAATTGGGTCTTAGAGTATAGAAATGGGATGAGAAGTTAATGCAAAAAAGGTATGGATTATTAATAGAGATTGTTATAAGAAAAACCAAAGGAGGGAATGAAGGGAAGAAAAAGAATGTACTGTTTTCTGGGTCCCTTCAGTGATTCCCAGGCCTAGTGTTTTGCATGTGTTATCTTTGTATAATTCTCCTAACAATCTTCAGGCAGCTTGTGTATGTGTATAAGCACAGGCTTGACTTGCAGATCACTAACTTGTTATTTTTGTTCTTGAACCTTGACTTTTTAGTGCCTTCTACTCCTGTGCATTTTGCCAATGGAATGAAAAACTACATGAAGAAACCTTCCTACATGCAAGACAGTGCTGTAGATTCTTCTTCCGAGGACCACCACTGGCCACTTGGTACCCTGAGGCACATCATAGAAACTTCCTTTGGATTGTCTGGGGGCCTTCGAGAAGGAAGCCTTAGTTCTCAAGATTCCAGGACTGAGAGTTCCAGCTTGTCTCAGAGCCAGGTCAATGGCTTTTTTGCCAGCCAATTAGGTGACCGCATCTGGCAGGGATCACAACATGTCAGCCCTACTCCATCTGTAATAACCAAAGCCATTGCGAAAAAAAGGACTTCCTCTGACAGTAACCAAAGCAAAGCTAAAAAGCCAGGCATTTCTGATGTGACAGATTACTCTGACCGTGGAGATTCAGACATGGATGAGGCTACTTATTCCAGCAGTCAGGATCATCAAACAACCAAAAAGGCATATTTTAATTTTAATTTTTTGTTTTTATTTTATTTAGCAAAACAAAAGCAAATATATTACAGAGAAATAGAATCTAGTAAAAGGTGCATAAATAGTTCTGGAAAGGAAGAACAATTTATACCTTCTGCTACTAACTGCTACTGCATATGATGCTAACTTTCAGAAAAATTAGAAGCTTTGAATACTAACTGACTAAACTTAAAGTTTGATTCTTTTTTACAAGTTGTTTGTCTCTTGCATATTTAACATTTATATTAATAAGAAAACTTTAATACCTCCCAAATTGTTTCTGAATAGTTCATATAATGGGCAGTTGAATTTTTAGTTACAATCTTTTTCTGAAGTTCTAAATGTATGATAATAATAACAATGAAATAGCTCATTCCTAGAAGGGAATGCTAACATTCATAAGCAGTTTTAGAGAACAACATTATGCTTTATATTCACTGAAAAAAATCAGTACTTCTCACAAGAGGGTTATGCCTTATCCTTATATGCCTTATATGTATAGCTTAGCTATTGTTCCTGTGTTTATATTGAAGTTATACATGTAAGGAAAGTGAACATGAAGCCCACTTATCTTAGAGGCAAATATATTACAGAGATCAAAAAAGAAAACCTACTGCTTGGTGTACATTGATTTTTTTAAAAAGTGGAAATATTTTATAAACTTGGGAATATAAAAAGTATTAAATAAGGATTATATAGAAGCTAAGTTCTAACTGGGTTCTAAGTTTCCCTCTGTTTGACCTGAGGCAAGCACTTTAAACTCTGGGCATCAGTTTCCTCAATATGAATGCATGGAATTGATAATCTCTTAAAATACATCCCACCATTATGTATTTACATACACTCTATTTCTTAATATTTTGCTTTTGAAAATTTTTTCCAGGAAATACATATTTGTCTTCCAGTAGTAATTCATTTTGACTCTAACAAGAAATCCTTTTTTGTTGTCTGTTTTTCTTTATTAAGGAATCTTCCTCCTCAATGAATACATCCAACAAAATGAATTTTAAAACTTTTTCTTCATCACCTCCTAAACCTGGAGATATCTTTGAGGTTGAACTGGCTAAAAATGATAACAGCTTGGGAATAAGTGTCACGGTACTGTTTGACAAGGTTTTCAAATATTTTCTCTTCTTCATTTCCAACAGCCTATTGTATGCCAAATAATTAGTTGAGTTATTTTACTTCAAGTGGAATGTTTGGCAAATATTTCCAAAATTTATAAGTTGACTATCTTAAAACTTTTTAAAAATTTGCTATTTTTTTCTGTATTTTTAAAATAATTAAACAAATACTCCCCACCTCCTCCCCTGATTTCATGCTTGCTTAATCTGAAGACATGCCAAATTTAAAATTAATACATATGCTTTGTATACAGTTGACAGTTTCTTCATGAGCATGGAATAAAATAATGAGATGATACATCTTTAACTGTATCATGAATAATTAAAGATTATGGATACCTACATAAAAATATACAAAATAGAACTATCTTAGAATATATAGGAAAATCACTTTAAATATTCAGAAACAGCACTATAAATACATTGTGATCAAAAAAGAAAACCTATTTTCTAGCACATTTTAAAAGGTGGAAAAAATAAATAAAATACCACATAGAAAAATATATGTAACATTTTCCCTCTTGTTCTTAATTTCTTTAAAGCTTTATTATCTTTTTAAAGTAAAGGGAGATAAAAACTGAATATTTATAGGAGACAGAAAACTGATTCGCTAGATCTCACCTATACCATTAAAAAAAAAAACTAACAAATCCTTTTAAAATAAAAATGAAAATAAACTTTTTGCCCTTGACTCATGGAATTTGCCTTCAGATTTGAATATGCAATCTTAAGTATGTTTTATCCCATGTACTGTTTCTTCTGATAATTAGTTTCTCACTCTAATTTTGCGTAGACGGATTTTGCTTTCTGCTTTGCTCATAATGCTCATAAGAACAGTTTCTCACATAGTCAAGATCTAGGTTACTTGCTAAATTGAACAGAGTTCAATTGTAAAGAAAGTACTTCAGTATTTGGAAAACTTAGCTAACAATATTCTTGGATTTTGAAATAATTGCACGTGCTGAAGTAATCCTACTGCTTTGTCTGGTGAACTGAATCCTTTTCTAGGGCTCAGATTTGAAAAGGAGTGCAAAATATTTCATATTACCAAATGTTATTTTGTCTTTTTGTATTTAGGGAGGTGTGAATACCAATGTCAGGCATGGTGGGATTTATGTGAAAGCTGTTATTCCCAAGGGAGCAGCAGAGTCTGATGGTAGAATTCACAAAGGTATGTTTGTATATAAGTCGGAATTACATAGATGAGCATCACAACAAATAGATAAGAAATCCCAAAGTTGATGTAGATCTTTCAATTCATAATATGAAATAAAAACATACTCAATTACAAAACTACAACATTAGGAAATTCTTTGATGCCACTTCAGTAACTCTTATTCTAGCTTATTCCTTAGTGTCAGAAAATATCTAAGTAGTGCTTTAGTTCATATTTCATACCTGCTACTTACAAGCACATTGCCAGAGAATGGAAAAGGGATTGTAAAAACACTGACATTCACATTTCCAAGAACTCACTATGGCCTTCCCCCCAGTCTTTCTACTTTTGTAGTTCTGCTTATCTTTTCTTATAATTTAAATTGATTGTAAAGATATTATTCTAAAATATAACTCCTCAAATTACTAAGAAATACATCCACTAGGTGTTAATTAACATATAGAACCTTTATTTTGTGATTTTTTCCCCCAATTAATTGCCTAATTAATAGGTGATCGTGTGCTAGCTGTCAATGGAATGAGTCTGGAAGGAGCTACCCATAAGCAAGCTGTGGAAACACTGAGAAATACAGGACAGGTAATGAATAGTGTACCAAGCTGGTATGATCCCTTCGAAGAGTATCATAATGTGTGAATAACCTCAATCTAAATTTGTTAGTTAAGAAACAGCCTGATTTGTGGAACCATTCTGGGTTTGGGGGGGATTTCTTTCTTTTTTCTTCCTCTGTCTTCCAAAATGAGAAACAAGTATTAAGAAGTTTCATACTGAGAAAACTGGCTTTCTATGTTACATTTTTAGTGCTAATATTAACCAAAGAGGCCTGACAGGAGAAGGGATGGAAATTGCATTTTTAAAATGTTTTATAAACATTTTCTAATCTCTAGTGATAATCACTCCTAGTCATTCTTCAGCTCAGAAGCTAAATTTATTTTGTTCAAATTCGTTTTGAGGCAGGTAGTTTACCAAAGTATTTATAATGGTTATATAATAGAATGGTGGTACTTTTTTTTTAACCACACCCAGACTTTCTATAGCCTATTTATGCTATTATCAGAGAATTTGAACATGTTTTATAATAGGTTTTTTTAATCATTTATTCTTTTGGGTGGGGCGGATGTCCAGGATTGAACTCAGGGGCACTCAACCACTGAGCCACATCCCTAGGCCTATTTTGTATTTTATTTAGAGACAGGATCTTACTGAGTTGCTTAGCACCTCACTTTGGCTAAGGCTAGCTTTGAACTTGCAGTCCTCCGGCCTCAGCCTCCTGAGCCATTGGGTTTACAGGTGTGTGCCACTGCTCCTGGCTAATCATTTATCTTTTTACATAAAAAGTAATAAAAACTTGATTTTTAAACATTCAATCCTTTTGTCCCTCTATTTTTCCCCCTTCTGTATTTTGGTGGACAAAGTAGTGGCTTTAAATGATTTTATACTACAACTATACAAAGTCCTGAAAGTTTATCTATTTTTTATCATTCTTCTTAACTAAGGCGTTCTGTTCCATTTGTCCAGGTGGTTCATCTATTGTTAGAAAAGGGACAGTCATCAGCATCCAAAGAACATGTCCCTGTAACCCCTCAGTGCACTCTTCCATATCAGGATGCCCAAGGTCAAACTCCAGAAAAAACAGCAAAGAAAACAACTCATATCAAAGACTACAGCTTTGTCACTGAAGGTCAGGCCTTGGGAAACCATCACGTCCCTGTGAAATTATTCCTATCTTATTTAAAACATGAATGCTCTATGATGGATTTTAATTCATGTCCTAGTCTCTTTATTCTGGTCAAGTATAAATAATAATCTGATGCTGCACCATGATAAATTTAAAAAAAAAAAAAAAACAGAAACATTTGTAGTTCATTGAGTCTGAAAGTCTTTGAATAATGAAGTTATGCCTGATTGTAGTCATTTAATTATGTCTTAAGTTGTTGTAAAATTTAAAATGAAATTTGGTAAAGAAAAAAATAAGTATAAATAATTGCTGAGAATGGCTTCAAACCCATGTGAAACCTTGGCCCTTAGATTTTCTTATTTCTATTAAATTTTATGGACTTATGATAGTAACCTTGGCAAGAAATCTACCTAGAAGTTACCAAATACTGGTTTTTCTTACAAAATTTTCCAAACCATGTGCATATCTCTAATTGGTAGTAAAATTTTAAAATGAAAAAAGATGTAGTAGTGAGTTCCTCATAAGGCTAATTATACTGGCGTACCCTTTATTCTGAGATTCCAAATATCTGCCTTTTAGAGGACTTCACTACTCTTTGCTATATAAATGATGGTGATGATATACAGTCATTGTTTTGTCTTTTATTTTAAATCTCTATTTGATTACATGAAAGTTAGCAAAAAATAGCCCAGCTTTTATTATTTTTCCTGATTATAAAAATAAAATTAACATACATACTTTATCACACTGCTCTTTTCTATCATTCTTTAAATGTTATGGTTTTTCTTTTTCTTCTCTCTCTCTCTTCTGGTTTTGATTCTTTTCATTTATTTTGCTAGTAAGAATTTTACTGGAATGTCATTGCAATTTATCTGGATTAAAGTAGACTTCACAAAATAATGTAATGTCAACTTACTTTTCCATATCCTTGGCTAGCATTTATTTCATATTCCTCCCATATCTTCCATTAGACACCTGAATATCACTTGTAATTCTCTTTGCCTGGATATCCCCCACTTTTAAAAAATTTTCTATTATCATGCTGTATTTTATTTTATGCTATTGGGGATTGAACCCAGAGGTGCTCTACCACAGAAATACATCCCCAGCCCTTCTTTATTTTTTATTTTGTGACAAGGACTTGCTGAATTGCCCAAGCTGGCCTCTACTTGTGTTCCTCCTGCCTCAGCCTCAGGAATATCTGGGATTACAGCCTTATGCTATCACTCCCAGCTCTTACACTGTCTTTTAAAACATGAGATTGAAACATAGTTTTATTTTCAGAACGCTGCTTTCAAAACTTGGTTATGTTAAAACAAGGTTACCATCATAAGTCCATAAAATTCGATAGAAATAAGAAAACAGCTTAGTTCGTGTAGTTAGTTCATTAAGTTTTCTTAATGATAGTGTGAAATAGGATTTGAGCTTCGTATAAGGATGCATTGAGTGCTTAGAAAGCTGTAAATATCATTGGAAAAAATGGGCTTTTAAAATGTCTCCTAAAGTCTGTATGTTTGTGTGTTCATATGTATACACAGCTTAAAGATATTTGTTTGTTTATTTGTTTGTTTTGTGTGTGTGTGTGTGTGTCTTTTTTCTCCAGAAAATACATTTGAGGTAAAACTATTTAAAAATAGCTCAGGCCTGGGATTTAGTTTTTCTCGAGAAGATAATCTTATACCCGAGCAAATGAATGCCAGCATAGTAAGGGTTAAAAAGCTCTTCCCTGGACAGCCAGCAGCAGAAAGTGGAAAGATTGATGTGGGAGATGTTATCTTAAAAGTGAATGGAGCCTCTTTGAAAGGACTGTCTCAGCAGGTGAGCCCCCAACATGTGGAATGTGGCATTTGTAATGACAAGATGGATGGTTTTATAATGCTGCTTTAACTGTATCTTTGTTTGTCATTCACGTATCCTCAGGAAGTCATATCTGCTCTCAGGGGCACAGCTCCAGAAGTGTCCTTGCTTCTCTGTAGACCTCCGCCTGGTGTGCTACCAGAAATTGATACAGCTCTTTTAGTAAGTTCTCTGAAAAGTACTTATGTTTTTGTAGACTACTAAATTAGCAGTTTGCCAATGCCGCTGTAGTAGTTTCTTCATGGATTGTTCCACTGGGTTTCATACTTGCTACTTTTTGGCTATGAGTACTATCTTGTGTATATCACTCAACTTCTTTGAGTATGTTCTGTTTTTCTAATATAGAGTAATTAATTCACTTTTTCTCCTCTCTCTTTATATTGTAAAAGTCTAGAATACTAGGATTTCAGAAATTTGTTTTCTAAGCATAAATAGAAAAGACATAAAACCTTACCAAAACCTTGTCCCTTCTTCACCAAACCAACAAGCAGCAGTCATTCTAATTCTCAGTTAGTTTGGATAAAAATGGGAATAAACATTTTTAGCTTTTTTTAACACTAGAAATCAGAGAAAGAGATATGATAGTTTTACTTTCTTACATCAAGGAATAACTAAAGGATCCAAAATCAATTTCAGACAGATAGGAAGGAGTCCAAACAGATGAACACTAATATATTATATAAGAAAATCTGCCTTGAGGTTGGGACTATGGCTCAGAGGTAGAGCACTCACCTAGCATGCATGAGGCACTGGGTTCGATCCTCAGCGTCACATAAAGTGAAATAAAGACATTGTGTCTACCTATAACTAAAAAATAAATATTAAAAAAGAAAGAAAAAGAAAATCTGCCTTTGGCCTGTCTACTTAAAATAATTTTACACCAGTGAATGGTGACTCCTTGGTCTGGAAGGCTGGAGTATCTGGATCAGTAGCTTTAACTCTAATACTGGGGAAAGGGAAAATGTGAGGAAGAGATAGGAATGTAACATTTATGTAAGATACATTAGAAATAGCATTTTAAGAGACACCATTGATTTGAGACCAGATAGGATGAACTGAACAGAACTTTCTTGATGAGAACATCAATAAGATAAGATCTTTCCAAAAAGCAATTTGGGAACAGTTAACAGGTCCTTTAAGATATCTAATGCTTAACAATGCAAAAAAATTATAAGAAAATAGAAACCCAGGTAGAAATTCTTGTTAAGTACAAAGAAGTTCTCCTTTGATATCTGTTAATAGTGAAAACCTAAAAACAACTCTATATCCAGTAAAAGGAGAAAGCTAAAACACATCAAAGCCATCTACAGACTACTATGCAGGAACCTAAATTTTGAAAGTAGAATACAAAGTTCAATATATAACTCTAATTCTGATTTAAAACATATCATATAGTATTAGCCGTTGTTGTTTTATATATTTTTTTTCTTTACAGAGCATAAATTAATTTTATTATCAGAAAATTGACCATTTTAGTAGAAAGTGCTGTTATTCAATAGGTTCCTTTTCATTTATGTACTTCTGATGTTAATATAACTTGTCACCCTATGATCTCTTTAAATGTGTTCATTACAGACCCCATTGCACTCTCCAGCACAAGGGCTTCCAAATAGCAGTAAAGACCCTTCTCAGCCATCATATGTGGAGCAAGGCACTGGCTCAGATGATAATGAAACTTCTGACAAAAATAGGAAACAATGCAAGTCCCCATCCAGGAAAGACAGTTACAGTGACAGCAGTGGGAGTGGAGAAGAGGACTTAGTGAAAGCTCCTGCAAAGATACCAAATACAACCTGGAGTTCAACTTTGCATCAAACTCTGAGCAATATAGTGTCACAGGCACAGAGTCAACATGAAGCACCCAAGAGTCAAGAAGACACCTTTTGTACCATGTTTTACCATCCTCAGAAAATACCCCAAAAACCAGAATTTGAGGACAGGTATAGTCAATATGATATGTAGCACTCAAGGCAATTGGTTGTTGTTAGTGACAGTGGCAGTTACACATATTTCTCTGAGAATGGAGTGTGTCTGTAAACTATGCAATAGTAAGGCATTTGATGACTGCATTAGATGTGTAGCTATTAGGACTGACAGTTTTAGTTAGGAAACGAGTTTCTCAAGCCATGCAACCTGAGTCTCTCTTGAACATATTTGCTAGTAGTTAAGAAAGTTGTTTCTCAATGTTAACCATAAAGAGAAGAGATTTATTTAGGTACTGATACAGTGGGAGATCAGGGAGAATTATAAAGGAAAGTGAGTGGGGAGAAGAGTTTGCAAATGGTAGGACATGGAAAACAGGGAAAGAAGAAATAATTGAAAACATAGAAGTGTACAAAAGAAACTCCACATCTATCCATCTAGTAGTTATTCCTATGTTTTACTGTTTAGTTGTATCTTTTTGTGTATCCAGGTCCAAACATAATTATTCAAGCTTTGTTTTTAGTATTCTTTGTTTCTATTCTGTCATCCAAAATAACCACAGAAGCAATACTTTTTTCCTTGTGTTTTTTCTTATTAGATTGAAATACACATGAGGCTTCTGATAACATTAGCTTCAACCTTGAATTAACAGGTGCAAATCAAATATATAATTTTTTGATTGTGTCTTACTATCTTCATGCAGCTTAAAGAGCTGTTTCAAAGTAGAACTGGGACAAAAGAATAAATCAGACAAAAAGTAGCTAAGATCTCAAAGTCAGAGAGGAATATTTGTTAAGCAGTTTCTGTTGTGGCACAGACTTACTATATTAACATTGAAATGTATTTGAAAATAGTCTTGTTTCTTTGTCTTTGTAGTAATCCTCCTTCCCCTCTCCCACTGGATGTGACTACTATTCAGAGTTGTCAACCCCAATTAGAATCTGCTTCCTCTGATTCCATGGGTAAATATCATATACATCACTCTTTTGAACCAACTAGACAAGAAAACTTGACAACTTTGAAAAATGACTTGGAAAACCACTTTGAAGACTTTGAACTGGTGAGATGCTTCCTCGGCATTTTTCCTCAATGAAGGTGTAGATGTACACAGTTTTCCTTTAGCTTCATGCCTTTGTCTAATAAATGCATAGCATCTGATATGTTATTCTGCTAAGAAATGAGGGGAAAAGACAAATCCTGACTCTATCACTGACTGCCACTTGGCACATACCTGTGGACATATCACTTAATTCTTCAGATTCCCATAGTAACTGACTGTACAAAGAGGCTACTCACAACCTAGGATTGTAGTGAGAATTAAATGAAATACCATGTAAAAACACCTAGTCCAGTGTATAAACACTGCTACAGAATAGCCCTTTAGTAAATTTTTTATTTGTTTCTCAAATTCCATTGCATTGTACATCAGATTTTTAAAGTTCATATGTTATTCTTTTCTCTTCCACATTTTTCTTGTGTGCCCAACTGGAGTGTTTACATTGTATTAATAGCCTTATAACTTCTAAACCTACAAATCAAGCATGGAAACCAAACTTTCAAGTGAAATATCCTTCGTGTTGCCTGAAAGTCAGCCTGTTTCAGTATTTATTATCTAAATAATAAATGCTTATTCTAGAAAATTATAAAACAAAGAAAAAGAACATTAAAATCACCTATAATCTTATCACCCCAAAACAACAAATATTTTGAAGTTAATCTTCCCATATGTTTTGGTTGCTTAAAATTGGGTGTGACTAATTAGAATAAATAAAATAAATAATTTTTTTAAAAAATAAATTGCATGTATATGTGTGAGTATGGGTGCATATGTGTGTGTATGGGTATGTGTTATATAACACCTACATCTTCAGTACTATTTTTACAATAAAGGCCAAATAGTTTCCTTAGAAACTATTTATCAGCCACATAAACAGCCCATCTTCAGTTGAAATCTTTTTATCCAATTTTTTTTATTTATACATTTTAACAAAGTTTTGATGTGTAACTATTCAGAGACTTCATGTTTTTTACCAGAAACAAAAACAAAGCTTTCTTTGGAGACACTTAGCATCTAGTTTAGAAATATGTGAAGAATTTTTTCCTCCAAAAACATGTTCTTTGATCATCGAAGTATATCCAGTCTTGTGTCATTGTTAATCTTGTTCAACCTGAATATGCAAGAATGGAAGCACAGTAAGTTCTGTTCCTGCTATCTCTGGATAAACATGTAATGTTGTTTTTATACTCAAATGCTCAGGAGAAGGGGCATTCCTTCCAGAGTTAGAAAGACTTGGTTTCCTTACTTGGTCAAGATCCTCTGTTAATCAAGAGTAATAATAGTCATCTTTCTGTTTGTCTGTAGGGCAAAACAGCCAACTCTAAAGGAATCATTGTTTTCTTTCTCTAGGAAGTAGAACTCCTTATTACCCTCATTAAATCAGAAAAAGGAAGCCTCGGTTTTACAGTAACCAAAGGCAATCAGAGTATTGGTTGTTATGTTCATGATGTCATACAGGATCCAGCTAAAAGTGATGGAAGGCTAAAGCCTGGAGACCGGCTCATAAAGGTAAAGACATTGAAGAGGAATGGAAGATTTGTGCAAATTTGTGCAAATGTGACTGTATTGGTCCATTTTTTGTTACTAGAGTGAAACATCCAAGGCTAGCCAATTTTATTTTTAAAAAATTCATTCAGCTCATAGTTTGGGAGATTTAAGGGCATGGCAATGGTATCAGCTTAGCTCTGGTGAGGACCTCATGACACCATGGTAGGAGCTCATTTGGAAAGGAAATCACATTTCAAAACAGGAAGCCAAAGAAGCTGAGACGCCACAGTTCCTTCTAAGGGCAAGCCCCCAGAGACCTACTGATCTCCCAGGAGGCTCCACCTCTTAAAGGTCCCACAGTCACACTGAGGACCAAGCTCCAACACATGAGCTTTTGTGGGACAAATTTAAACAGTATCCAACCCAGAGCAGTGACCAAAGAACAGAAATGGAAGAACTTTGAATTAATATTATACCGTGTTACTGTTTGGCTTATGTTTTCCTTCTGCACTACTTAAAAGTAAAGGCCTTTATATAGTTAAGTGCTTGGTAAATGCTTCAAGTTTCCTTTTTAATTTGAAAGTCCCTTTATTCTCAAGGCATGAAATAAGCTATCTCAAGTCTCAGAGACACAATGTTTCTTACATTATTAAGAGAATAAATTTTCTGTGTTAGCAAAGCAATGGTGCATTTCTTAAGGCATTTTACCTTATTATTTTATTTATGATGGCTTGACCATTATGCTTATGATTTCTATAATAAAGGAATTAGAGTTCATGGTTTATTGTAAATTTCTTACTAAAATGTAAAAATGTAGAGAGATTATTGTATTTTCTTGACAATTTAGCTTCCCTGTTCTTGACATTGTAATCCTAACTTGCCTCTTTCTCATTTTTGTAGGTTAATGATACAGATGTTACAAACATGACTCACACTGATGCAGTGAACATGCTCCGAGCTGCACCCAAGACTGTCAGATTGGTTCTGGGACGAGTTCTAGAATTACCCAGAATGCCAGTGTTGCTTCATTTGCTACCTGACATTACATTAACATGCAGCAAAGAGGAGTTAGGTATGAAAATTCAAGTTTTGTGCAGTATGATTTTCTTGGCTAGCTTAAGAATAAGTACTCTAATGACTGAGAAAACAATTTCTATTCTTTGAAGGTTTTTCATTGTCTGGAGGTCACAACAGTCTTCATCAAGTCATATATATTAGTGATATTAATCCAAGGTCAGTTGCAGCCATTGAGGGTAATCTCCAGCTAATGGATATCATCCATTACATGAATGGAATCAGCACACAAGGAATGACCTTAGAAGAAGCTAACAGAACATTAGACATGTCACTTCCTTCAGTGGTGCTGAAAGCAACAAGGTACTCTAATAATTCATGACCTCTGTTTATCTGCATGCATGCATTTCAGGCTTTTGATGATACTTACATACTTGTACAAAAATTATATTGAATTAGTGATTCGCTGACTAAACTGGCAGGACTAAACAAAGTTAGAATAGACCTCCCAGTACGAGATTCTAAAAACGTTAAGTGGATAAGTGAATACATGTATCCATTTAATAAGGTGATCGACACGTATATCAGGATGTTTTCAGTTGCCAATAGTAGAAAATACAACTCAACTTTGTTTAAATAAGAAAGAGAATTTATTGGCTTACATGGTTTTAAAAGGCTAAAGATTAGGTGGTCATCAGATGAAATTTGATCAGGCATCTGGTTCCATTTCTTTGCTATTTTCAGTTATTCCTTCCTCTTTATGTTAGTTTCCTTTATGATAATCAAATGACTACAGTGGTTTTATACCTCGCACATGTATACCACACCATCTAGAACAATCTTCAAACTGAAATCTCACCAGTCACCACTGGTAAAGCAGGTAATATTCCCCGGTTGTCTTAGGCCTAAATTAAGGTCAGTCCCTGAACTGAGGCAAAGGGATAAAAATAAATTGATTGGTTTTGGCCAGTTATGACAATTCCTAGAGCTAGGATGAGGTCTGGCTCTGGAACTACATCTGCTACTGATGAGATATAAAGCTACCACATGCACTGTACCTCATTACAGTTTCACAATATTAAAAAGTGCTAATAACAATTCTTGTACCTTAGAATGGAAGTAAATTGAAAAAAATATGGATGAGTTGCCTATTGCTTCTGTAACAAATTACCATAAATTTAGTGCTTAAGATAATATAAAATTATTATCTTAACAATTCTGGAGGGCAAGAAATATAAAATTGCTCTCACTGGGAAAAAAACCACTGGGTCTTCAGAGCTGTATTCCTTCCATAGGTTCTAAGACAAAACTCATGTTCTTGCCTTTTCTGCATCTAAAGACTGTTTTCCTTGGCTCCTAGCCCTGTTCTATCTCTATCTTCAAAGCCAGTCTTTGCTGCACTCTGTGTGCTTCTGCTGCCACATCTCTTTTTCTGACTTTCCCGCCCACCTTATTAAGACCCCAGTGATTACAGTAGAATCCTAATAATCCAAGATAATTTCTCCATCTCACAATCTCCATCTCTTTTGACTTGTAAAATGGTCACAGGTTGTAAGAATTACAGCTTTGTCACTAGAACATTAGACATCTTTTATTCTTGATACTATGATGTACATGAATCTAGACTTTCTATGTTATGGACTGTGTCAGTCAACTTTTCATTGCTGAGATAAAATACCTGAGAAAAACAATTTAAAGGAGGAAAGCTTCATTTTGGCTCACAATTTCAGAAGTTTCATTCCAAGGTCAGCTGGCCCCATTGCTTTGGGACTGAGGCCAGGTAGAATACCATGGAGGAAAAATATGGCAAAATAAAGCTACTCACCTCTTGGCAGTTGGGAAGCAGGGAAAGAGCAGGAAAAGGGGCCAGGGACAATATATATCCTTCCAAGGAGTGCCCCTAGTGACTTACTTTCTCCAACCAGTACCCTCTCCTATAGTTTCCACGACGTCCCATTAAAGCCATCTGTTTATTAATCCATCAATGGATTAATCCACTTATGAGGTGAGAACCCTCATGATCAAATCACTTCCCAAAATCCCCACTTCTGAATATCACTGCATTCAAGACATGAGTCTTTAGGAAACATTTCAGATCCCAATCATAACACAGACTAAGCCAAGTTATGTAAAGGGAAAATTAACAATTGTGCCTATGAATCTTTTTTTTTCCAAAATGTAGAAATGTATGAATTAAATCATTAATAAACTTGTTTGTTCCTTCTGAATCTTCAAGTTAGATTATATACTATTTTTCCTTGAATGTAATTCCTGACCTGCATCCTTATTAATATGTTTCTAAAACCTTATTTGGCATACAGTCATTTTCATAGGACTAACTGAATGTTAATTATTGGGAGGGAAGTCTTCAAACAAACTAGAAAATGTTTTTGTGAAAATTAACATTGCTGCAAGTCTTAGGTATAGCTGAATGTTTTGCCCCAAAATCAGTACCGTCTCCTTTCTTTCCTCCTCCTCCTCCTCTTCTTTCTCCCCTCCTCTTCCTCCTCCTCCTCTTCTTTTTTCCCTCTTCTTCCTCCTCCTCCTCTTCTCTCTCTCTCACTCTCTAACAGTACTGGCTGGAACCCAGATCTCATAAATGCAAGGCAAGCACTGTATCACTGAGCTACATCCCCCAGACCCCCTCATGTTTTGAGACAGGAGATCTCACTAAGTTATTAACTCTGGTCTCCAACTTTTGATCCTCCTGACTCAACCTGTAGCTGGGATTATAGATGTGTGCCACCGTACTGCACTCAGCTAGTAGATCATTCTTTACCCAGCCCTGAAGTCACTTTCTTTTATCCTTCTACTCTAGTAGTCATCACAATCTCTTTCTTTATTCTTCTTCCAGCTTTCTCTCCACTCTATTATGTATGTAGTGTGGTGTGTATGTATCCAATTTAAAACCCACAGGTTTTAAATAGTAATAATGGAGGGATGTATATTTGTAGCAATTTTCAGTATGTCAAGAATTGTAAAGGGTCTGGGATTTTACCTTATTTGTAAGCTAATAAATTAGCCTGTTATTGTTTCATGGATTCTAACAGTAGGCATAAAACTGGAATCAGTAATACTTCATTGCTAAGCACAACAGGTGGCATGAACTTGGTGTGGGTGTCATGGAAATGATGTATATGGGCCTAATAGGATTACTGCACAGGCAGTGGATTGTGGTTACAGGAGAAGAATAGCATAAGAAGAATCTGGAGAACCCACCATTTTATAGTAGCCAAAAAGAACCTGTTTGTTTGGAGTTTAGGTTTTTTGTGGGGAGGGGTGTGGTTACTTCCCTCAAGGTTGCTCACTGCAGATAAGACTTTTGAGAAATGGCCTAGATAGGAACCATCAGAGCCTTGCATCTGGGGGATACCCAGCAAGCACATACATGGATGCTAGGGTCTGTGGTATAATGCCTCTTTAAACACTATACATACCTTAGGCAACCTCCTGTTCCTCACATATCAGCACCAATAAGATTGCATACTAATCCCCTGTTCCCAAGGTGCTGTCTGTTTTACTGCTTTTCATTTGGAGTGGTACTATTCTTATAATCCTTTGAATATAGATATTTCATGTAGATTTTCACTTTAATATAAAAGAAAAAACATATAACAAGGGATTTAGATATAAAAATATGATTTATGACTTCTAAGTTAAATACTTTTTATTTACTTTTATTATTATTTCTTTATCTACCAAGTAATAGTGAACTAAATTATTATTTGATGATGACTATTACCAGTGTTTTAAATGGAAAGGGAAATGTGTTGACCCAAGAGTGATGTGTTGACCCAAAGCCCAAAGGAACATTACATAATAAAGTTATTCTTAATCTTTTGGAGATTGGGAATATCTCCATCCAGAAAATACTTAAAGACTCTCATAAAATTTTGTCTGCAGCTTCAGGGGGCACTTAGGCCCTCTGAAGTCCACCCAGAATAAAATTTCTAAAAATAGTTAACAGAAGGTTCAAAGAATATTTAAACAAATTATCTTTAATATTTAATCTTTTGTCTTTTTTTTTTTTAATTCACACAGAGATGGTCATCCAGTTATCCCTAGTTCAGAGATGTCTGCAATTTCAATTCTAAAATCAACCCAAGCCAATGGTAAGTCCATATTAATTTTATGACACAAGTAGTTAGGGAAGTTTTTTTTTTCCTGAATGGCAAGTTTGAATATTATAACTAAATTGGTTTTATTGCCCTTTCAGAATGTTTTGCAGGATCTAAGCAAAAATATTATATTTAAATGAAATCATCTCTGAAATTTAATTAATTAATTAATTAATTTTTTAAAATTTTTTATTGTGGGTTGTTCAAAACATTACAAATTTCTTGACATATCATATTCCACACTTTGATTCAAGTGGGTTATGAACTCCCACCTTCACCCCATACACAGATTGCAGAATCACATCAGTTACACATCCATTGATTTACATATTGCCATACTAGTGTCTGTTGTGCTCCGCTGCCTTTCCCATCCTCCCCCCTCCCGCCTCCCCACCTCTCCCCTCCCCTCCCCTCCTCTCTCTCTACCCCCTCCACTGTATAACCCTGAGGGTCTCCTTCCATTACCATGCAATTTCCCTTCTCTCTCCCTTTCCCTCCCACCTCTCATCCCTGTTAAATGTTAATCTTCTTCTCCTGCTCTTCGTCCCTACTCTGATCTTAGTTACTCTCCTTATATCAAAGAAGACATTTGGCATTTGTTTTTTAGGGATTGGCTAGCTTCACTTAGCATAATCTGCTCTAATGCCATCCATTTCCCTGTAAATTCTATGATTTTGTCATTTTTTAATGCAGAGTAATACTCCATTGTGTATAAATGCCACATTTTTTTTATCCATTCGTCTATTGAAGGACATCTAGGTTGGTTCCACAGTCTTGCTATTGTGAACTGTGCTGCTATGAACATCGATGTAGCAGTGTCCCTGTAGCATGCTCTTTTTAGGTCTTTAGGGAATAGACCAAGAAGGGGAATAGCTGGGTCAAATGGTGGCTCCATTCCCAGCTTTCCAAGAAATCTCCATACTGCTTTCCAAATTGGCTGCACCAATCTGCAGTCCCACCAGCAATGTACAAGTGTACCCTTTTCCCCACATCCTCGCCAGCACTTGTTGTTGTTTGACTTCATAATGGCTGCCAATCTTACTGGAGTGAGATGGTATCTTAGGGTGGTTTTGATTTGCATTTCTCTGACAGCTAGAGATGTTGAGCATTTTTTCATGTACTTGTTGATTGACTGTATGTCCTCCTCTGAGAAGTGTCTGTTCAGGTCCTTGGCCCATTTGTTGATTGGGTTGTTTGTTCTCTTATTGTCTAATTTTTTGAGTTCTTTGTATACTCTGGGTATTAGGGCTCTATCTGAAGTGTGAGGAGTAAAGATTTGTTCCCAGGATGTAGGCTCCCTATTTACCTCTCTTATTGTTTCTTTTGCTGAGAAAAAACTTTTTAGTTTGAGTAAGTCCCATTTGTTGATTCTAGTTATTAACTTTTGTGCTATGGGTGTCCTATTGAGGAATTTGGATCCTGACCCCACCGAATGTAGAACGTAGCCAACTTTTTCTTCTATCAGACGGCGTGTCTCTGATTTGATATCAAGCTCCTTGATCCATTTTGAATTCACTTTTGTGCATGGTGAGAGAAAGGGATTCAGTTTCATTTTGTTGCATATGGATTTCCAGTTTTCCCAGCACCATTTGTTGAAGATGCTATCCTTCCTCCATTGCATGCTTTTAGCCCCTTTATCCAATATAAGATAGTTGTAGTTTTGTGGATTGGTTTCTGTGTCCTCTATTCTGTACCATTGGTCCACCCGCCTGTTTTGGTACCAGTACCATGCTGTTTTTGTTACTATTGCTCTGTAATATAGTTTGAAGTCTGGTATCGCTATACCGCCTGATTCACACTTCCTGCTTAGCATTGTTTTTGCTATTCTGGGTCTTTTATTTTTCCATATGAATTTCATGATTGCTTTCTCTATTTCTACAAGAAATGCCATTGGGATTTTGATTGGCATTGCATTAAACCTATAGAGAACTTTTGGTAATATCGCCATTTTGATGATGTTAGTTCTGCCTATCCATGAACAGGGTATATTTTTCCATCTTCTAAGATCTTCTTCTATTTCTCTCTTTAGGGTTCTGTAGTTTTCATTGTATAAGTCTTTTACCTCTTTTGTTAGGTTGATTCCCAAGTATTTTATTTTTTTTGAAGATATTGTGAATGGAGTGGTTGTCCTCATTTCCATTTCAGAGGATTTGTCGCTGATATACAGGAATGCCTTTGATTTATGCGTGTTGATTTTATATCCTGCCACTTTGCTGAATTCATTTATTAGCTCTAATAGTTTCTTTGTAGAGCCTTTTGGGTCTGCTAGGTATAGAATCATATCATCTGCAAATAGTGATAATTTAAGTTCTTCTTTTCCTATTTTTATGCCTTTAATTTCTTTCGTCTGTCTAATTGCTCTGGCCAGTGTTTCGAGAACTATGTTGAACAGAAGTGGAGAGAGAGGGAATCCCTGTCTAGTTCCAGATTTTAGAGGGAATGCCTTCAGTTTTTCTCCATTCAGAATGATGCTAGCCTGAGGCTTAGCATAGATTGCTTTTACAATATTGAGGTATGTTCCTGTTATCCCTAGTTTTTCTAGAGTTTTGAACATAAAGGGATGCTGTACTTTGTCGAATGCTTTTTCCGCATCTATCGAGATGATCATATGGTTCTTATTTTTAAGTCTATTGATGTGGTGAATAACATTTATTGATTTGCGTATATTGAACCAGCCTTGCATCCCAGGGATGAATCCTGCTTGATCATGGTGCACAATTTTTTTGATATGTTTTTGTATCCGATTCGCCAGAATTTTATTGAGGATTTTTGCATCTAGGTTCATTAGAGATATTGGTCTGTAGTTTTCTTTCTTTGAAGTGTCTTTGTCTGGTTTAGGTATCAGGGTGATGTTGGCCTCATAGAATGAATTTGGAAGTTCTCCCTCCTTTTCTATTTCCTGAAGTAGCTTGAAAAGTATTGGTATTAGTTCTTCTTTAAAGGTTTTGTAAAATTCTGCTGTATACCCATCCGGTCCTGGGCTTTTCTTAGTTGGTAGTCTTTTGATGGTTTCTTCTATTTCCTCAATTGATATTGGTCTGTTTAGGTTGTCTATATCCTCCTGACTCAATCTGGGCAGATCATATGACTTAAGAAATTTATCTATGCCTTCACTATCTTCTAATTTATTGGAGTATAAGGATTCAAAATAGTTTTTGATTATCTTCTGTATTTCTGAAGTGTCTGTTGTGATATTGCCTTTTTCATCCCGTATGCTAGTTATTTGAGTTCTCTCTCTTCTTCTCTTCGCTAGCATCGCTAAGGGTCTGTCAATTTTGTTTATTTTTTCAAAGAACCAACTTTTAGTTTTGTCAATTTTTTCAATTGTTTCTTTTGTTTCGATTTCATTAATTTCAGCTCTGATTTTAATTATTTCTTGCCTTCTACTTCTTTTGCTGTTGTTTTGCTCTTCTTTTTCAAGGATTTTGAGATGAAGTATGAGATCATTTATTTGTTGGTTTTTTCTTTTTTTAAGGAATGAACTCCAAGCAATGAATTTTCCTCTTAGAACTGCTTTCAATGTGTCCCATAGATTCCGATATGTTGTGTCTGTGTTTTCATTTATCTCTAAGAATTTTTTAATTTCCTCCTTGATGTCTTCTATAACCCATTGATCATTCAGTAACCTATTGTTCATTCTCCAAGTGATGTATGCTTTTTCCTTCCTTCTTTTATCGTTGATTTTCAGTTTCATTCCATTATGATCAGATAAGATGCATGGTATTATCTCTACTCCTTTATATTGTCTAAGAGTTGCCCTGTGACATAATATATGATCTATTTTTGAGAAGGACCCATGTGCTGCTGAGAAAAAAGTATAACTGCTTGATGTTGGGTGGTATACTCTATATATGTCAATTAAGTCTAGGTTATTAATTGTGTTATTGAGTTCTATAGTTTCCTTATTCAACTTTTGTTTGGAAGATCTGTCCAGTGGTGAGAGAGGTGTGTTGAAGTCTCCCATGATTATGGTATGGTGGTCTATTAGACTCTTGAACTTGAGAAGAGTTTGTTTGACGAACATAGCTGCACCATTGTTTGGGGCATAAATATTTATGATTGTTATGTCTTGTTGGTGTATGGTTCCCTTAAGCAGTATGTAGTGTCCCTCTTTATCCCTTTTGATTAACTTTGGCTTGAAATCTATTTTATTTGATATGAGTATGGACACTCCTGCTTGTTTCCGAAGTCCATATGAGTGATATGATTTTTCCCAACCTTTCACCTTCAGCCTATGTATGTCTTTTCCTATCAAATGCGTCTCCTGTAGGCAGCATATTGTTGGGTCTTGTTTTGTGATCCATTCTACTAGCCTGTGTCTCTTAATTGGTGAGTTTAAGCCATTAACATTTAGGGTTATTATTGAGATATGGGTTGTTCTTCCAGCCATATTTGTTTATTTCTGTTACTAAACATGGTTTGTTTTCCTCTTTGATTATTTCCCCCCCCTTTACTGTCCTACCTCCCACTGTTGGTTTTCATTGTTATTTTCCATTTCCTCTTCCTGTAATGTTTTGCCGAGATGGTTTTCTAGCTGCAAATTCTTTTAACTTTTGTTTATCGTGGAAGGTTTTAATTTCATCTTCCATCCTGAAGCTTAATTTCGCTGGATACACAATTCTTGGTTGGAACCCATTTTCTTTCAGTGTTTGAAATATGTTATTCCAGGATCTTCTAGCTTTCAGAGTCTGTGTTGAAAGATCAGCTGTTATCCTGATTGGCTTACCCCTAAATGTAATCTGCTTCCTTTCTCTTGTAGCTTTTAAAATTCTCTCCTTATTCTGTATGTTGGGCATCTTCATTATAATGTGTCTAGGTGTGGATCTCTTATGATTTTGCACATTCGGTGTCCTGTAGGCTTCTAGGATTTGGGATTCTGTCTCATTCTTCAAGTCTGGGAAGTTTTCTCGTATTATTTCATTGAATAGACTGCTCATTCCTTTGGTTTGGAGCTCTGTACCTTCCTGTATCCCAATGACTCTTAAGTTTGGTCT